CTTTAGAAAAATCGATATCAATTCTTTAGAGTTGGTAATCATTTACAGTTTTGTTTCAATTAATGCCAGAATAAATTAGAAACGGATAATTTAAAACATTAGACTTATCAGTTTCTTTGTATTTATTATTACTGCTTATATCTAGAGGCAAAATTGTATAAATTTGAAAGTAGATTAAAAATAAATATATTCAGTCACTTTCACTACAACTAGTTGAGTTCAATAATGTATCAAAATTAATGTTCTTTCAAAGTCATCCATAATAATTTTCTTTGTTTTCTCCACCACTTGTTCTGCTGTACTGCCCAATTGTTCTTTGTGACATGGGTATATGTTTCATTCAGCAAACCTTCCAATTTCTTTACAAAGCGTAAGATATTTCCATCTCGTGTGTTTTTATGTATAGTTAATAATATGTTTGCATTAAAAGTATTTCATGTAAAAACTAGCCTTTGATTTGGGCCAAAATCAATTCAATAGCATTATTAATGGCAGTGGTATAGTGGTAGTCTTATGATATGCGCAGGAATATTTTGTAAAAAAGGTTGTAAACCACTCTTTTCTACCGACTTCAAAAAAGAGATGGTACTCAATTCGACTGTATGTACTTTTTTCTTTTGGAACGAAGTTCCTTATCGGATGGTACGTATTTGGCGGATAAGGGCTAGGCGAGAAAGTGTAAGATTTTTCCGTTACGGCCCCTTCTGACGTAGTATAGCTTTTTCTTATCTTGTCATGAAAGAAATAATATTTTATTAAAAATGACGCTTCATTTTAATAGATGCCAGTAATTCATTTATTCGTATTTGCTAATTAATAATATAATACGTTTATAAATAATAAAATACTACGTAAAGAACTTCGTTCCAACTGAGTGTTCCACGACGCTCACGTATGTTTTTTTTATGTGTGTTGAACTGAATTCGATGATTCTTTTTTTTATTTGAAAGCTGGTGTTTCTCATGTAGTCCCATATAAATTTGATCAAGGTCTGACTAATATAATTTGACGGCTCCGTGGCGCAGTGGCTTAGTAATGAGTTATTGCGCTGGGGCCGCGGGTTTGAATCTCGCACGGATCAAGAATTTGTATGGCCTACAAATAATAGTATAATTGTTATAACTAGTAGTTTCTACCAGCAACAACAAAAAGCTGATTTTTATATATTTGGCTTTACGGCTCTGGGTTCTAGCCCTTCTGAGCCTGAAGTCACAATGTATAATTATCCTTCATAATAGGTTGTTGCGTCACATTGTGCAGCCCTTGGGATATTTTGACGGTAACTTGATCGAGTAGACAGCTGGAAGTTGGCGATGGTATCTTAAGGCACCTAAGCAGACAAACACCTTATATTGAAAATCATATCACCATCAAAGCACTTGTTTCACCATTTCCACTAATAGTTCACATGCGCAGACACTTAATACACAAAATCGCACCATTTTACCATTATTGAACAAACCATTTTACATTACAAATTCCACTTCAAACCATTATTGAAACAATAACACAGAAACAGCAAACCGCCATCGGGCAAGTTCCCGCCAAAACTCATCCAAATAGCTGAACCAGTAGCTAGATCACAAAGTACTTTTTTATAAGGGATATTCATGATATACATCGATGCATCGAATTCACTCGATGTTTACAATAAGTTGCATCGAATCGATCCAATGTTTTGGAAAGGTATTGATATACTCGATGTATCGATGTTTTTTCATAAAACATCGAATCAATGATAACTTATCCTTTCACTATTATTATTATAACTTCTAAATCACAAAAACTAAAACATTCTCTGATTTAGAAGTTATGATATTGAACCTGTTGGTGGTGCTAGTTGGCAGCTTTCAGTCCCTTAAAATTTTCTCTGGTCTGTCTCGGTTTTAGACCATTTAACCCAATTGACTCACCTCGCATGACTAATCCCCTCTGCCAAGGTATTGGATTTAAAATCTTGTGCGTTTATGAAAACTGTTTACGGAATTGATATTATTATTATATGAATCATTTCCGCTGAAATAGGTGCTCTTTAAAAAATGGCGATCTGTGCGGTCAACTTATGCATAAAGCAGTAAAATACTTAAAATTTACAAAAAACAAATGGAATTATATTCCCTATGTAAGTATTTTTATTGTGATACATGTTTTTTCTTTCATTAGGTAATAGAGTACGTAATATTTCATAAAAATCGTAGTAATAATCTCAATGTGAAAACCGCATTCCCCACAGACTATTTGTATTTTATTTAACAATTCCAACCTTCAGTCGTTAGTACAAACGGACTCGTTATGAGATTATTTTATTTTTGTTTTAGATGACAGCTAAATACGTGTAATGAAATTATTTCTTAACCCTGCAGTTGTCTAGCCTATTAAAGCCTTATAAATACATTGACATTTAAACAGAGCAATTTTATTTAACCGATTCCTGCAAGTTTCCTAATTTAAATTAATAAGTTTGCATTCAAATTTAAGTCAAATGATAAATTAAACATTTAGAATGTATTAAGTAATTAATTATTAAATGTTTGTAATTACTAAAAGTTGTACTTAAAATATGAAAAATAAAGCAACCATTATGTGTCCTGTGTCCTCGTTTTTTGATTTCACCAGCAAAGCATTTTATAAAATATACAAAATATGAATAGGTATTTACTTCATTAAGTATCTACCTATTTATATGTGATTTAAATCAAGTTAATTAATTTAGAATTAAGTAAAAACGGGGAATATGTCCATGGCAGAAAATCTTTTTTTTTCTCGAAAATACAACTTTTCGATTTGATTGAAAAATAACGTCAGTCCCATCCCGTCCCGCCACAGCCAGCGCCACCGCCCCCGTGCGGTTGTGTTAGCTGTCCACGCTCACTGACTCCGTACGGTAAGTGCCTTCCCTCCCCCGCTAGCGCCGCAACGCCGTCTGTTTGCGTTAGCAGACCGTGCTCACTGTTCCCGTACGGTTAGTTCATCTTGCTCATGCGACTCCCACTTCTTTACTCCTCTGGCACCGCTGCCCCCGTACGGCTGTGTTAGTCTACCCGCGCTCCTGGCCCCGTACGGTTGTGGTCCGCGGCCCCCTTCCCTAAGCTGCAGCCGGGTGCGTGGTATCCTATGAGCATTCACCACCTCCCTCCCCCGCTTCCGAAGGGTAGCCTTTACTTGTTAAGTGCGGGAACGAAGCCTTGGTCCTGCAATGCCGCAGCGAGACGCTTAGCAACTGCGCTACGGAGTCGTCATTTATTTTTTTACTTAATCAATTACTAGTTTTACTAGTATCATAGTGCGTTTTTTATTTTATATATACTTTGTAAATATTCTTGTACCTAATAATTGTAGAGATATAATTTAAAATTGCTGTGTGTAAATTACATTGATTTCTTATCCTCATCGGCATTTTTACTCAATCCCCACGTTAAAAAATTTATTTCTCATAAAATTCATTATAGAGATCTAACTTTTAATATGGAAAAATATCGATGTACAATATATAGATAAAAGTTATATCGATAAAATTATTCGAGTAAAGACATTTTTAGTTCTATTGTAATTCGTCAATGTTGTCAGCCTTGTTTGTCAAAAACTTAATGTCATGTCTTGATGTTGCCCATAGTGTTCTGTGATGTTGGTGGAGTAGCTTGGTGTACTTTCATACTGTTTCATACATTAACCACGGAATAAAAGAAACAATACAATTTTTATATTCCGTTACTTTTAATATGGAAGTCCCGCATCTTAAACGTAGTCATTATATTCTCTTTTGCAAGTAATGCCAACCTAGGAAGAAAATACAATCACAGCTAATATCAGACTGGTAAACCACAAACTAAATATAGAATCACTCAGGCTGGCCACATACATACGGAATTCCGTTTCGGGATTTCGTTTCGATATTCCGATTCGGGATTCCGAACGCAGCAAGTTCATATAAAATCTATGACCCGCCACACACGTATGGTATTTTTCCATACGGAATTTCTCCGATTCGAGATTCCGTATGACCGCCTGTGCGTTCGGAATCCCGAACGGAAAAAAGCCGCTCCGAACGCAAGTCTTCCATAGATTTTATACGAGTCGCAACACACATGCGTAAATTCCGTACGGAACGCGCTCAGTGTTCGTCACACGACCGAAGCGACTAAGTGTGTTTATGTATGTTTTGACATTTAAACTTATAGGTGTATAGCTTTTTTAACCTTACATCTTATTTTATGAATTTACAGACTTCCATATTTAAAAAAAATATCTCTGGATAGATAGATCTTTTTACATAATATTGACTATATTGCAATCTTAGGGTGATAAGGGGATGTACCCAGTAAGAAAAATACAGCAACAATGGAATCGGAATTAGAAAATCCTCGTCATTTTTCGCCGGCAGAACATCTAGACTCAATGGCTAACGTCTCTCGACTGATCCCAGTTATTCCGAACGGAAAAAACGTATGTGTGTGATGTATTCACGAAATCCCTATTCGGGATTCCGAAACGGAATCACGAAACGAAGTTCCGTATGTATGCGGCCGACCTTACTGTGAACGGACTTTAGGTAGGTATACACCTTCATTTAATTTTAAGATGTTTTGTTTAAATTTGTACCTATTTTAATAGTGTTACAAAGATATTGTATCTCCGGATATAAACTATATATTTTATTTGTAATATTATCTTTGTAATGTTATTACTTTACTCTTGCTCCTACTCTTTGTCTTTGATTTGAATGAAGATTTTAGCTTGCTACCGCTTGCTACATATTTATTTATCTATGATTCATATTTATTTGTCTATGGAATATTTGTGAATTGCGAACGGAACGGACGATATTCAATTTTCTTACAAATATCAAAAAATCGTGATAAAATAGCTATTAAACGAAAGGAAACCATTATCAAGGTTCATTTTTAATACACAGTAAGTAATCGGTAGATTCTTTTGATTACTTTGGCAATACCCTATGTTTTCATCCATGTTGAACTAGTGTTATCTTTTATGATTGCGTCATTATAATTTATTATTATAAAAGGTATTCTCTGTTTTAGTTGCTATTTTAGAATAATAATACGTAAAATAGTTGCTTATAATGTGAACTTACTGTTCATGTATATAATTTAACCTTCCGTTTTGACACTTCTAACCTATGCAATTTCGATTCTTGACACCATTTTTGTAATGCCTTTCTGTGTATAATGTAATACAATAGGCAAAATGAACGATTTGGGCTATGCAAAAGAGCGTATAACATAAGAAAAGTGCTTACATATTGATAAATAATATTTAGCTTGATAAGGTTATGTTGATGTTTTGATTCGTTATGTTGGGTGTATAAAATCTGATAATCAGTTGACAAGTTGCATGTAAAAATTCCATTTTTAACCTTAAAATGTAATGACATTACCTTTAAGTAATTTCTTTGACTTACAAATGAATTTGTTTGGTAATTAGTTTTAGTTTATTTTCTATTTTTTGTTTGTTTGTTGTAATTGTTATTGTTAATAAATTTTTACTGCCATTTACAGTTAATGATTTAAATAAAAATATATATTGAACATGATGGAGTGCAGGCATGAAAATACAGCAGAATAATTTGTAAATGTTTTATTGAAAATACAACCAAAATGATATTACAATGGTTACATACAAATTATGTGGTCATATAACATAACATATGTTTTTAATTAAAACTAAAGTTATTAAATTTATGAATGTAAAGTAATTAGAGCATAATGGAAGCAGCAGGCGAGGATTTTAATCTCCATTGGGAGGAAGTTGTAATTAAGGTAATTGAAAATATTATTTTTAATCATATAATTAAGTTTTAACTTAACAGTTGGCATATAATGTGTCTTAAATCTTAATTAAATTATATTGTACAATATTTAGCTATAAAGTAACACTTGTCTTAATTTGTTGTTAACAGTTTTAGAAAATATTAAAAAGCTACAGGATGTATTTGTCCCACTGCTGGCCCTGTGCCTCCTCTCACTTCTTAGAGGGTTTTAGAGCAAGGAAGTGTTAGCTGTGCCACCCATGTGCGTGTTGGCAGTCTTTAAATGTCTGAAATATATATTTTTTTATTTCCTAGAGATACAGGTTTCCTCTCTATTGTTTTCCTTTACAGCCGAGCATGTGGTAAATAAGCACTTAAAATTGCGAAAATTACAGTGAGCGCTAAGCCCCTAAGCTACCATGAAAATTGTTACTTAGTGACATAATAGAAAAAGAAAATTATACTAAAAAAGTGAAATTTCCATTTTTTATTTACATATTTTGCTTCCTCACCTCTTATATCTTAGCTTGACCTAATGGTTGACTGTGAAAGAATGTCCATTTACATGTGCATTAGTGTTAAAAAAAAAGAAAACTTACTAAAAACGAAAAACCTTTTTTCAGAACTCTCCTAAACATGAAAACCAAACAATTTGTGGCCTGGAAGGTGAACAATCTGTATCTTACTCTACTATGGTTTGTAAATTGTATATATTTTCTGTTTTGTTGATGTTTGTTTAAATGCATGATTACATGAATACTAATCTAGGCCATAGACAGTGGGCACTCCTGAGTGAGATATAAAGAACTCAAAATTTATAGACTAATCATGGAGTGCAGCATTACCAGTCTAAAAATATTGGATATATATGTGTCAACCCGCATGACCATTGTATGGGTAAATTTTCCAAAAAATTGCTTACCAGCTATGAAATCCAAAAATACCATATTATACAATTTAATTATATTTTCATACAAGGGACCAATTATTGTCATAAATTAGTTGGCATCTTATTTTATCTTTTCCAAAATTAACTTTGAGGTAGTGCTGACTTTGCTTTGCCTAAGAGTTTTGATTAAATAATTACCTTCTGTTGTGTTTTTGGTTTCAAGGGTATGGAGAGCCAATATAGTTTTATACTGACTGTTATTTTTTTTTTTTGAAGAGTATGGAAAGTCAGTATTATTACATACTGGAAGCACTCTCTCTTAATATTTAGAGATCACAATTTTTACTTCTTTTCTTAGAGTTCATGGGTTGGTTGGTTGTATTAGCCACTTACCATCAGGTGTATTTGATGATTATGATAACTGAGTGCCTCTGAAATATGCCTGATGGTATTTAATATTAACTGTCCATTACTTTCTTACAGTAGTCTAAATGTTATTGCTATGCAAATTAAAATTGAATTGAATTGCAATTATTGCTACAGCTGTGTATTTTGTTTGACAATTTATTTGTTTTCTTGATATAATGTATATGTTACAGTCAAAATTTATAACCGGTTAAAACCACTTTTGACTGCAAAAATATTGGGTAATAGAGATTTTGGCCAAATTATAACGGTTAAAAGTGGTTTTGACAAAGAATGTTAGTCAACACTACTATTGACTTATACTTTTTGAATTTAAAAATAGTTCAATTTTGTCTTTCAATATTATATTCCCCGAAACTCTTTACTGCTGCATTGGAAGATGCTTTTAAGCTTCTGGACTGGAAAGGATACGGTATCAACATCAATGGCGAGTACATCACTCACCTTCGATTTGCAGACGATATAGTCCCTATGGCAGAATCGCTGGAGGACCTAAGCACTATGCTCAATGACCTCAATAGTGTTTCCCAACGGATAGGTCTTAAGATGAACATGGACAAAACAAAGATCATGTTTAATGTCCATGTCACACCTATGCCGGTAGTTGTTAGGAACACTAAGCTCGAAGTTGTTGACGAGTATGTTTACCTGGGACAAATAGTCCGACTAGGTAAGTCCAACTTCGACCGAGAGGTCAATCGACGGATTCAACTCGATTGGGCAGCGTTCGGGAAATTACGGCACATCTTCTCGTCAGGTATACCTCAAAACTTGAAAACGAGACTGTACACCCAGTGCGTGTTGCCAGTGATGACATACGGAACTGAGACGTGGTCCTTCACTGCTGGCCGGATGAGGAAGCTCAAGGTCGCTCAGCGAGCTATGGAAGGGCTATGCTCGGAGTTTCTCTGCGTGACAAACTCAGAAATGAGGATATCCGCAGTAGAACCAGAGTGACCGACATAGCCCAACGGATTAGTAAGCTGAAGTGGCAATGAGCCGGCCATATAGCTCGAAGAACCGACAACCGATGGGGAAGAAAGGTTCTCGAGTGGCGGCCTCGTACCGGCAGGCGAAGTGTAGGGCGTCCCCCCACTAGATGGAGTGACGACCTGGAAAGATATGCAGGAAGTCGATGGATGCAGGTGGCTCAGGACCGTGCTTTGTGGCATTCTTTAGGGGAGGCTTATGTTCAGCAGTGGACTTGTGAAGGGCTGTAATGATGATGATGATGATGATGATATTATATTTTATATAATTATCATTATAATATACGCGGCTTTAGAGTGCCACCCCAGCCACACCTTAACCTACTGTCACTGATATTTCGTTTAGTCTGAACTTTAAACAAGGTAAAATTACTTTTGACTAAGGACGTTGGTCAGAACCACTTTTGACCGGTTATGAGTTTTGACTGTGATATATACAATGTATTGCAGAATCCACATCCACTACCACATACAAAAATTCTTACATAATAGAAGCTAATAAAAGCTATAAATTAATGGTAATTAAATGATTATTTTAGGCATCAGAAGAAATCATAGCTGATACAGATCAAATGGCCGCAGAAAATTTGATGTATTTTTCACAAGATGTAGTTGGATATACAGAAACAACTGAGTTGGCGGATGATTTAAATGTTGAATGTGTAACTGAAGAAGTTATTACTGATGATTGGGTCATAGCCGGTGGACAGGAAAGGTATAAAATCTATTAGCAGTTGTGTTATATATACATAAAATAGTACTATTTTTAATTAGAACCTTTTGATTTCCAGTAACTTTTGATTTAATAATTTTTACAGTAATTTAATTATAACTTTTATATTGATATGTAATAATTATTAGTCTTTGCCTACAATCCTACCTGATGATAAGTGGTCATCTTGTGACCTTAACAGTGGTCTTAACATATATTAATACCTATTTACTCTTGCCTTGAAGATACTCAGATTGTTATTGGATGGAGAGACCCAACAAATTCTTCCCCTCCTTGGCTGTATGCATTACAAAGGAAGATGTAAACTAGCGACAGGCGATTGTTGCAAAAAAAAAAAAACAATTGACTGAATCGAAAATTGTGCTATGTAATGCATGCGAATGTGCGTCTGTGCAACGATGCATGCGTGTCCGAGCGGTGACCGCACCATCTTTTGTAACTACTTATTTAGTAGTATGCATAATAGGTGTGCGCTACGAATTAGTAGTTAAAGTTGACACGGTAACCGTGTCAGTCATTGTCGCACTCCGCACGCAGTTAGTCGATAACAATAGACTAACTAACATGGATGGTTATCGAATTTTCACGACTAAACTGAACAATCAACTAATGAGGGCATCCACGAGTTTTTCTGCCACCAGGGCGGCGCCACTAGAAAGTGAGGTATAATATTTGAAAGATTTCATAGCGGGGAAGGTAATTTGTTCTGAAAATGTGTAGTTTATTGTTTCTTTTTGTACTATTGGCTATATTTTACATTAATAAGATAAATAAACCAAACCACATATATTCATAAAAGTAGAAAATTATAAAAAAAATTTTTTAAATGTGCACAAAATTATTGCAGAATATTTGAAAGGGACGAAGAGAGAACGAAGTGTGAAATATGGGTAAATCAGGAATGTCTAGAACAGGTAAATGAAATTGTATACTTGGGGAGTGCTTTTAGCCGGGATGGAAGATGTGCTTTAGATGTGGACAGGCGTGTCGCTGCCGGGAACAAAGTCAATGGTGCCCTGACTGCGTTAGTTAAAAGGCAAGGCGTAGCGAAGAGTGCACGCCTTGCAATACATAACGCAGTGTTGGTACCGACTTTGTTATATGGCAGCGAAACCTGGGTATGCCAGAAGAAGCATAAAAGTAAGTTGAATGCAGTGGAGATGCGATCTCTTCGTAAAATGTGCGGCGTTACTATGGCCGACCGAAAGCGAAACGAAGAGATTCGCAATATGGCAGGTTTGAAAGATGACCTTATCACAAAAATTGATAAGGGCGTGCTTCGGTGGTTTGGGCACGTTGAGCGAATGAGTAAAGACCGAATGGTGAAGAAAATATATAGCGCGAAAGTTAATATTAAAAGGTGTCGAGGTAGACCGAGACTAACTTTCGAAGACCATGTGAGCAATTTGCTCGAAGAGGGTAGGGTCAAGAGTACTCGGATACCTAGACGTGCATGTATGAAGAAGATAATGAATCTGAAAGAAGCGAAAGAGATATGTAAGGATCGTGACACTTGGCGATCTGTTCTCTCTGGCTACCCCGTCAGGGATTGTGCGTGAAGATAAGTAAGTAACAAAATTAAAGAGCAAACCACTGACGCATTGTTTTGTGTATTAATATAATAACTGATAAACTTTTATTAAAAACCAACTTCTCAATTAAATTCAACTTTACCTCAGTGTCAACTAGCGACATATGGTGAGCAGAAAATTATTAGCCCTCATTCCATAAGTTTTAGTAATAATCGCCCATAAAAGCTTTTAAAAAATTACTTTGCAAACATCCGCGCTATAAAATAAAATGATGTGTCTTACCTAGTATGAAGAGAACCTCCCGCCCTCCCTCAATTGCGTGCACTATCCCCGTTACCACTAATCCCAGCACCGGTACTCCCAACACCACTACACTAGGCAAGACACATCACTGACGGTGAATCCTGAGGATGCCTCGTGTAGAGGCGAAACACGTGTCGTATTGTCGTCAGTGGTGTGTCCTGCCTAGTGTAGTGGTGTTGGGAGTAGCGGTGCTGGGATTAGTGGTGACGGGGTTAGTGCACGCAATTGAGGGAGGGCGGGAGGTGCTCTTCATACTAGGTAAGACACATCATTTTATTTTATAGCGCCGATGTTTGCGAAGTAATTTTTTTAAAAGCTTTTATATAATGGATTTCCGCAAAGTAACGCCTGATTCTATTAATTATAATCACCCATCGCTAATGCAAACCATTAGCATTTGGTTTCACTGTGTGAAATATCGACTACAAAAGGGTGAAGGCCTGTCGATTGCCTGGTTGTCTGATGAAAACGTAAGGGAAACTCCACAGAGTCCAACGCTGCTTGGTAGCATTTTGCAGCACTAGCCCATATGTGATTGCAGTACTTCATGCTCAACTATATTAGCTGAGAATCTACCTCGGCATGAGGGTAAGCCTTTCGCCTGGACTCAATAAACCACTCTAGATGAAGGTGTTCAGGGTACTCCAAATATACATTGGTGTACTCCAAGGATACATCCTAAAAAGTAGGAGCCAGAGTGAGCAAGCCCCTTTTGCAGTGAATAGACACACTTGTGTTTTGGAGGCAAGAATCTCACAAGATTGGCATCGCCCCATAATGAGACTGCCAGCAGTGAGAGATTTATGCTCTCAACCATTGCTTTTCTTTTGAACTGGATTTAATCCCAACTGTCCCAAGCACTAGGCTATCTGCGACTGTGCTATCCTCTGCATACCCATAGATACTGGGTATAAACAGATCATTAACATGCATCAGGAGGAGTGTTGCAGAGAGAACAAATTCCGGCGTTTAGTCGTCATAGGGTTAGATGTCGATGAAGACTCGAAGAAACTCACTCAAAATGTCCTTCACCCACTTCAATCAATAAGCAATCAGACCATCAATCAATTGGCCATACGCTGGAAGCTTGCCTGAAATGCTAGGTTCCCAAATCCTGTCAAAGGCAGAAAGGTCCTCAGTTGACCAATTTCAGTGAAAGCTGTACTGGCGGTCACTGAGGAGATCTGTTTTGAGTATGACATGGTATGGAGGTAATTGAAATCAGCTGACATTTGGCATGGTTGGCCCGGATGCCTCTTTGAGAGGCTGCCCATCGGCTAGCTTTCAAGATTGGGGCTCTATTCCCTGCATATTGAGATATTGCAGTAAGTTAATTGAAGTGGTACACTGTTACCTACAATTTGCTTAGAATGGAGTGAGCCATTTGGTTTTACCAGTAAAGGCAATATAAACTGACAAACAACTGCCTTAACAGGTTTGGTGAGAAACCAAAAAGTTCCACTGCCATATGGTTTAGCGAAGAACTTAGCGCCTATATATTTAATGCGATTGACACTGGTATTCCTTAATGCCTATCCTTTCAGTTGATGTTCGGAATTTTGCAGTATCGAGCATCAACTCATGATAAATACACCATTTGATTGAGCTCTTCAGCTCGGGCAACATAGACGTTGAACAATGGGTGAGCTTTGCCACCGATGGTTCCGTCAGTGAAGGAATAAAATACTCCATTACTTGACACCAGTAATACCATCAGGACAGCTAGATAGTTCTTCAGAGTAGAAGCAGACCTGCCGCCAAGGATAAGATGGAAAAAATGCCACATCTCATCCAAATCTCCTCACTTGTATCACCATATTCACTGCACACCTTGGAAATTGTAGTCAGATGGGGATTATAATGACAGAGATTTCACCATAACTAAGTCTTACCGATTATTTTGGGTTCTTTCCAATTTATAGACAAAAGATTTGACTGCTAGTGACTAATATATTATTAGCTAATGGCATTGTGATTGTTCAATTAAATCCTACTACAGGCTAGGGTATTTGCTATATTGTAATTATTAAATCAACACAAATATTATAAACATTAAAACAAGAGTAAAGTTTTAAATTACACCAAGCTTACATATTATTTATTTTTGAAAGACAAGAAGTAGATTATTTGGATGTGGCATAATAAATAAATAAATGTTTTTATATTTCAGAGTGGAAGTACCATTGGAACAACTTGCCAATACTGTGTCAGACATTAAAGTTGAAAATGATATTGATGTACCATTACCAACTGATCAAGTAAGTGGAATTTAAAAAAAGGAAAACTGAATTTTAAAGTAAGGTAATATTATAATGGTTTGTTTACTTAATAATTATTGTTATATTTAACATTCTCCACATTTTTTTGCATGGAAAAAGATTGGATAGTAAACTTTAGTTTTATAAATATTTGAAATTTGAATCTTTAGATTTAGCTGTATAAATGTTTTGATTCATGTTCATGCATTAAGGCTGTCTGCTAAATATAATCCTACCTCATAATTTCTACAAAGCACAATCCTGATCGTAGGTAGCTACATCAATTGACTCCCTGCATCTTTCATTAAGTCTTGTTGTTTTGTGGATATCCTAATTAGCAATTTTATCATACAGAGAAACTCTCAACATGTAACTTGCTTTTGAGAAAAGTAAGTATATGTATAGTATATGATGAAAAGATTTGCTTTAGTTGCCCTCTGTCACCTCTTACGACACCTGAGGGATGATATGGGGTAATGGATATTGGTGGTTCGGTTATTTTTTTGTTCGGTTGTTTAAACTCTTTAATGTAGTAATGTTTTTACACCAGGACCAGTACACAGCGATGCGTCCCTGGCCGTGCGATTTCTGCTCTCGGCGGTTCCGCAAGAAGGCGGCGCTGATGAACCACATGGTGGCGCACCAGAACGATCGACCACACGCTTGCAACCTGTGCGGCGTCCGCTACGTACGCAAGTGCGACCTCATGAATCACCTGAAGGTCCACGCCTTCGTGCCCGAGCATAGCGACACCATCGACTATGGTAAGACTAATGTGGGTTGCACTTTAACATTTTAAATCAACCGGATACGCCAATTTTTTTGCTGTATCGGGTACCACATGATGTATTAAGAGATTAGCATTAAATCTTCAGATTGTGTGCGACCTAACCCAAATTCTTCGAAAGAAATTACGGAACGGTGTGACGAAGGGGTGTGATACCCCTTCCCGCCGCACCATATCATGCACCTGCAAAATCTTAGTGACTACACTAAGATAAAAATCCTTTTGGCCACTTCCAGCCACAATCATACTTAGTCAGGTCATAAGTTCTGTCAAAAACTTTTATAAAATTAATGATACCCTTTTTGATAATTATATATGAAATAAAAGGTAATTTAATTTAGAATACAATTTTATTTACATTATTCAAAATGCCCTCCCCTATTTTGAATACATGTCCTTAATCGACGCGGCCAATCATCAATCGTAACACGCACCACATTCATATCTATTTCTGCCGCTGCTTTAGCCAAAGATGCTCTGAAAGATTCCAAGTTCTGATGAGGTTTAATGCAGACTTTCTCCTCCAAATGTTGCCACATCTTGTAATCCAGTGGGTTTATATCTGGACTAGAAGAGGGCCAGTCTTCATGTCCGATAAAGTCAATTCCACGGGCGGTCAACCAGTTTGGCGTGCTTCGTGCGTTTCAGTTGGAATATCCAGTGTCTGTTTTTGAACACTGTTTGAGAAAGAGGTTCCACTAAGTTTGTTAGGATGGTTTTTTAGTACACTTCGGCACTGGTTTTTGCACCTTGTCCACAGAAAAACACCTCAGTTAAGCCTGAATATGAGACTCCAAGCCAAACCATGAGTGACGAAGGATAATGTCCTCGTTAAACCCTCAGTATACGCGTGCTGGCTTCTTCACTGCTGTGGGCATACACCTTATCATTTTGTTTATTATAACTTTCTTCGATGTTAAAAATGTTTTCACCTGAAAATACAATTTCACGGCTTTTTTTCGCGTACCGCCGTAACAAAGCGCGGGATCTATTCAGCCAAATTTTTTAACGAAAACGCTCGTTCAAAAGATGTCCGGTCTTCTTACAATAAGCTCGTAGTCCTAGGTCTTCATTGATCACTCTTTTGACCGTGGTTCTGCTTAGATCCATCTGAAGAGTTAAGATTTTTTGTTTACGAACACGATTTCGTTGGATTCGATCCTTCACTGCTTTGATGATCGTGGGTGTCCTAACTGTACGAGGTCGACCAGTCCTCTTATGATCTTCGAAGCTTGAATCTTCAGTGAATCGTTAGATAGTGCGATAAACAAATCGTAGGGTTATTTTCAATATTTGTAGAATATTGAAAATCTCTTTTGGTGCGTAAACACAGTGGTGCAACGCGATAACCTCTAACTTCTTTCGAGTAAAAAACAAGACTTTTTAACATCAACTTTTTCATCATTTTTTTTTATGTTTCAAATTTTATTTTATTATTTTATGTTAGATACTCGTACATATATATATATATATATATATATATATATATATATATATATATATATATATATATATATATATGAGCAATAAGCCTACAAAGCACGCAAAAAAGCTGTTTTGAATTGTTGTGTACTGGTATTTACCTAAATGTTTTCTTTCGGCACTTTGAAGTCTAGGTTCGGTTTTTAGTAGTTCAAGCAGGGTTCATATAAAAGTCATGCCACTAATTATTACAATTCTATTGTTGCAGATGATGTATTAGCTGATAACTCTCAATTATTAAAACCAAAGAAAAAGAGAGGGCGACGGAAAAAAAATCCCGAGCCTGTTGAGGTAATTAAAGTTCTTGTTATTGAATAAATTCTGCATCTCCGGATGCGTCATACGTGATACAGATATTTTTTCATCTTTGAGAATCAAAATAATATGCCTCGTTATCAGTAAAAAAGGTCTCCGGTTCTTTACCCTTACGATATGAAACACAGCATCATTATTTGCTGTTTAATACTGGTATTCTGTGAGACAGGGTCCTGGCCCAGTTAAGCTGACTCGTTCGTACTGAAGCTATGTATAGGTAACTTAGTTGCAGTGTGGCTCTAATATAAGAAAAATATGTACGTATTTGTTGTTGACATTGCAGAACGGTGTGTGGGAGAATATGACGTCAGCGCGCACGCAGCAGTGGCAGCGGCGCGTGCGCACGCCGGCGCCGCGCTGCCCCTCGCCGACGTCGCCGCCGTCCCCGCCCTCTCCGCCCTCCCCGCCCTCTCCGCCCTCCCCACCCTCCCCGCCGTCCCCGCGCTCCGAGGCGTCCCCGCCGCCGCCCGCCGCGCCGCCCAGCCCGCCGCGACCAATTGACCCCGCGCGCCCCTTCGTCTGCCGCCACTGTGGTGTCGGATTTGCACGGGAGAAAGCCCTGCAATCTCATGCTAGGGTGAGGATGTTAATAAAATCTGACATGACTGCCAAATTTGAGAAAATGGACACTGTTCATCTTTATCATAAAATTTACATGACTGCTTCGTTAGTTTGATCGTAAACGTGGTTGCTGATCACGAGGTCCCGGATTCGAATCTCGGGTCTTGCTAAAATTAGTTACTGTTACAGCCTATTAACAGTCCACTACTGTACATAGGCCTCCCCCTTAGATTTGCCCCATAGGGATATTTGCCATAGTTGAAAAGCTTGGCAACCGCAGTTTTTTATAGTAGTCGTAAGTAAGTATATCGTTAGTAGTAAGTTGCTGCTGTCAATATCCAGATTTGTTTCCCTCTGTCGTATCTTACTACATTATTAACAGATGGTTTTTCTGTCAAGAAACTTGTCAGGTGGTTGGCGGTGTTTCACCTCCGTAAAAAGTTTTTCAAACGATTGATCACACTTCGTTGCCAGCATACATTGACACAACATAATAATAACAATATTATTATTATGTTGTGTCAATGTAGGCTTTTAAACAATATTTTACCGACATTTCGATCTTGACTAAAAAGTCACTCAATTCCGCCTCTGCTGTCGCCGAGTCATTACTCAAACAAAATGTAAAAGTCTATAAAAAATATTTGCATTTCATAAAATATTATCAGGTGATATTGTAAAATATTTTAAAACTATTAATATTAAGAAAACAGATCTATGGGGGATTTCAATTAGTTATTTTACAATATCACCTGATAATATTTTATTAATTCTGTTAAAGTTATTGCGTGTATAATTATTTTTTAACTTGCTATTATTTTCAATGCTAGTATCGAATCTGGTGTGTTTCCTGATTTAATGAAACATTGTAAAGTTATACCTTTATTTAAATCTGGCAGTACGTTGGACTGCATTTCTGTACTGCCAACACTCAGTAAATTTAAAAAAAAATTATTCTAGATCGTTTTTTTTAATGTAAACAAATTACTCCATAAAAATCAGTTTAGATTTACAAGGGGTCGCGCGGCTACTAATGACGGTGTTGAGCTAATAAAACATATTTTCTGTGCATGGGAGAATTAAGAACATGCTTTGAGTATATTTAGTGATCTTTCCAAGGCTTTCGACTGTGTTCACCGAGACATTAATCACGAAGCTACATCATTATAGTGTAAAAAACATAGCTTTTAAACTTTTATGTCATATTTAAATATTAGAACGGAAACAGTTCTAATTTTTGGATGCAGTTTTTATTAATGGATGCGGTTCTTCCAGATCGGTAGTAACTATGGGTGTTCCTCAGGGTCAATTTTGGCCCCTTTCTGTTCTTAGTTTATATTAAGAAACAGCCCCGCGATTTCGCCCGCGTTTTATTTGGGGTTTTAATTTTTTTGCGCGGAACCCTAATTCTTTTTCTAAAATAAAAGTAGCCTAAGTTACTCCTTGTGATATCAGCTATCTGTCAGTGAAAATCCCGTCAAAATCGGTCCAGCCGTTTCGGAGATTAGCCGGAACAAACAGACAGACAAAACTTTAAAAATTGTATTTTTGTTATTAGTACCGTATAAACTTTCATATGTATTTAGTAAAAAGCTGTAATTTTGACATTACAAACAGACACTTCAATTTTATTTATTTGTATAGATTTACCTTACTTGGTAGGGAATAACCATGATATAGCATTAATTGCTGATGATACTTCGTTGATATTCCGACTTAAAAGACAATTGTTGAAATATTACGAAGTGAATAATGCTATATCAAAAGTAGTACACTGGTTTAACATCAATAATTTGCTTTTGAACGGTAATAAAACGAAGTATATTAAATTCACCACACCTAATGTTAAACAGGTGAATACCAGCGTGCTTTTAAATGGGGAGAAACTGGGCCTTGCTGAATCCACTGTTTTTCTCGGAATTATAATTGACGTAAAGCTTCAATGGGGCCCACATATATCTACACTAGCTAGCAAACTTAGTTCTACAGCATATGCAGTAAAAAATAGAGGCCTTACGTGTGTTGAAACAGCTAGATTAGTTATTTCCATAGCATAATGTCATATGGAATCTTGCTATGGAGTAATGCGACTGACATTGAAACTATCTTTCTTTTGCAAAAGAGAGCCATAAGAACAATTTATAACCTAGGTCCAAAGGAATCCCTTAGAGAAAAAGTTAAAGAAATAAATATATTGACTAGCCATAAAAGCAATTTGTAACCTAGGTCCAAAGGAATCCCTTAGAGATAAAATTAAAGGAATAAATATATTGACTTTGGCCTCTCAATATGTTTACGAGAATTTAATGTATGTAATTAATTTGTGGTATTCCTTGGGGGAGACCTATGTTCAGCAGTGGACTTATGAAGGGCTGTAATGGTAATGATGATGAATGTATGTACATAAAAACAAAAATAGTTTTATTAAAAATAGTGATCTACATTCTGTAATCAAATAGTGATCTACATTGCCGTGTAGTGGCGGTTAAGAATATCCACTACCCCATATCTTCCCGTGGGTGTCGTAAAAGGCGACAAAGGGAAACAGGCAGGAGATGGGCAGCAGCATCTTCTTGATAACAGCAAAAATACAATAAAAAAAACTGCGGTTGCCAACCCGCTCACCAAGCGTGGCAACTATGGCAAATACCCCCCAAATGGATAAAGTTACTAAGAGACAGCCCCCAGTCCACGGCGGCCATGCTATTCCTGGCTACGGTGGCGACCATGGTAACGGCGGGGCAGGGGGTGCTAAGAATCTCTGGTGGAGGTTCGGTTGCCACCTACGACGACTCGACCTGGCAACATACAACGCACGCACCCTGAGGACTGACGAGAAGATTGTGGAGCTGGAAGAAGAGATAGACAAGTTACGCTGGCATATTATAGGATTATCCGAAGTCCGAAGAGAGGGGGAGGAAACGGTAATCCTCGAATCCGGCAACTTGCTCTATTACACTGGGAGGGCGACCATCTTTCCCAAGGAGGTGTCGGATTTATCGTCCACAAGTCTCTCGTTAACAACGTTGTAAAGATTGAGAGTGTGTCGACGAGGGTTGCGTACCTTATACTCAGAATCACCAAACAGTATTCGCTGAAGGTCATACAGGTTTACGCACCAACCTCGGCACACCCCGATGAGGAGGTGGAGGAAATGTATGAGGATATCTCTGAAGCCATGCATTCCTCCAAAACCCAATATACGGTGTTAATGGGAGACTTCAATGCAAAACTAGGCACAAGATAGAATGGTGAGCTGAAAGTAGGGAAATTTGGAATAGGGCAACGGAACCCAAGGGGCCAGCAGCTGGCCAACTTCATGGAGAAAGAGGGACTCTTTATGATGAACTCTTTTTTCCAGAAGCGGCCCCACAGGAAGTAGACCTGGTCGAGCCCCGACGGTTCGACAAAAAATGAGATTGACTTCATTATGACGACCAGACGACAACTGTTCAGTGATGTCTCGGTGATCGCGAGGGTGAAAACCGGCAGCGATCACCGAATGGTTAGAGGCATACTGAACCTAAACGTTAAGTTGGAGAGGTCTCGTCTAATGAAGTCAACGCTCCGTCCCCCTCGTGCTCTAATCCAAAGTCCCGAAACCTTTCAGCTCGAGTTACGAAACCGGTTTCAGTGCCTAGAAGACTGCAATGAAGTGGACGATATGCATGACAAGCTCGTGGAAACTGTCCATGCGGTCGGAGCTAAGTTCTGCAAGACCCGCCGCAGAAGAACACAAAAACTCTCCGATCACACTCTTAATCTCATGGTTGTTAAACGGGAGATGAAGCTACATTCTTCAACAGATTTGACAGCATACAGGCAACTGAACAGACAGATCTCCAAATGCATGCGGCAGGACTTACGCAACTTCAATACAGCTCGTATTGAAGAAGCGATCGAGCGGAACCAAGGCTCCAAAGTCTTTGCCAGAGATCTGTCTGCCAGGAAGAGCCAACTGTCAAAGCTGAAGATCGAGTATGGCAGCATCGTTTCAGGGGCACCTGAGATTTTGAGTGAGATTGAGAGGTTCTATGGGCAGCTGTACACGTCATCGTTGGAGCCACACGCAAGTGTGAGTAACGATCCAAGAGCGAGTCTTATCTGACATTATTCCAATGATATCCCGGACGTCAGTCTGAGCGAAATTAGAATGGCTCTCCAGCACCTTAAAAACGGCAAGGCCCCAGGCGAGGATGGAATTACAGCGGAGCTTCTGACAGCGGGTGGAAAACCGGTACTTGAATTCCTTCAGAGGCTCTTTAATTCCGTCCTCCATGGTGGCATTACACCGGCGGCGTGGAACAGAAGTGCGGTGCTCTTGTTCTTCAAGAAAGGTGACAACGCTCTCTTGAAGAACTACAGACCGATTTCCCTTCTGAGCTGCGTCTACGTGCTGTTTTCGAGTCATTACGAATCGTCTCGCGTGCAGACTTGACGACTTCCAGCCTCCCGAACAAGCCGGTTTCCGAAAAGGCTTTAGCACCATAGACCACATACATACCCTTCGGCAAATTGTACAGAAGTCAGGGGAGTACAATTTGCCACTATGTCTGGCGTATGTGGACTACGAGAAAGCCTTTGATTCCGTCGAAATTTGGGCGGTGCTGCAGTCCCTTCAGCGGTGCCAAGTTGACTGTCGGTATATCGAAGTGCTTTTTTTTTTATAGGATCGGGTGACAAACGAGCACACAGTCCACCTGATGGTAAGTGGTTACTGTGACCCATAGACATCTACATCTATCCTCAATAAAGACTCAAGATGCAGATGCGTTGTCACCCGTGAGGACTAAGATGGAATGCCTCTGCCAGTAAAAAGGGTCTCCGGTTCTCTACACTCACCATACAAAACACAGCAGCGTTAAGCTGCTATTTTACGCTGGTTTTCTGTGAGAGCGTGGTCCTTCCCCGTTCGAGTCGACCCATTCGTGCTACAACCATAATATAGCTGCAGCATGGCTCTACCACGTAGTAAAGTGCTGAAGTGCTTGTACAGTAGGGCTACGATGGCTATCCGAGTACAGAACCAGAGTACGAAACCTATCCAATTACAGAGAGGTGTAAGACAGGGTGACGCCATATCCCCGAAACTCTTCAGCGCTACATTGGAAGACGTTTTCAAGCTTCTGGACTGGAAAGGATACGGTATCAACATCAATGGCGTGTTCATCACTCACCTTCGATTTGCCGACGATATAGTCCTTATGGCACAATCGCTGTAGGACCTAAGCACTATGCTCAATGACCTCAATAGTGCTTCCCAACGGATAGGTCTTAAGATGAACATGGACAAAACAAAGATCATGTTTAATGTCCATGTCACAACTATGCCGGTAGTTGTTGGGAGCACTAAGCTCGAAGTTGTTGACGAGTATGTTTACCTGGGACAAATAGTCCGACTAGGTAAGTCCAACTTCGACCGAGAGGTCAATCGACGGATTCAACTCGGTTGGGTAGCGTTCGGGAAATTACGGCACATCTTCTCGTCAAGTATACCTCAAAACTTGAAAACGAGACTGTACAACCAGTGCGTGTTGCCAGTGATGACATACGGAACCGAGACGTGGTCCTTCACTGCTGGCCGGATGAGGAATCTCAAGGTCGCTCAGCGAGCTATGGAGAGTGCTATGCTCAGAGTTTCTCTGCGTGACAAACTCAGAAATGAGGATATCCGCAGTAGAACCAGAGTGACCGACATAGCCCAACGGATTAGTAAGCTGAAGTGGCAAAGGGCCGGCCATATAGCTCGAAGAACCGACAACCGATGGGGAAAAAAGGTTCTCGAGTGGCAGCCTCGTACCGGTAGGCGAAGTGTTGGGCGTCCCCCCACTAGATGGAGTGACGACCTGGTAAGATATGCAGGAAGTCGATGGATGCAGGTGGCTCAGGACCGTGCTTTGTGGCATTCCTTGGGAGAGGCCTATGTTCAGCAGTGGACTTGTGAAGGTCTGTAATGATGATGATGATGATGATGACATTCTGTAAATACAAACAAGTTAGTTATACCAGTTACTCGACTCCAAAGAGTTAGTAATTCCTTCTAGGGGCAATGTATACGCTTTTACAACAAAGTCCCAGAAAACATACAGATTAATTATCTCTGAAAAGGTTTCAAAATATTCATTAAGCAAAAATTGTCTAGTAAGTGTTATTATACTATTAAAGGGTACATGACTGATAATAACTCCTGGGAATGAGGTGATCTCTGCCATACTGTTTCTAAATGTTTTAATTTTTTTTATAGAATATTATTTTGCCTATTTTCCAGTAAAAAGGGAGACCCTGGTTCTCTACACTCACCATACGAAATACAGCAGTGTTAAGCTGCTATTTTACGCTAGTATTCTGTGAGAGCGTGGTCCTTTCCCGGTCGAGCGGACCCATTCGTGCTACAACTATACTACTATTATAGCTGCAGCATGGCTCTACCACGTTTAAAACATAACAATTGTATAAAATATTATATTATAAATTGTGCTTTAAAAAAACAGGACAGGTTTTTTAAGTATTACTCTAATTTATATTGAATAAAAATGATTCTATTCTATTCTAATAAGTGCTGTAAAAAGGAACTAGCAGCTTTTGCAGTTTATCTTTACCTTATATGCAGTATCATTACTACGTAATTAATATACTTGTTGTAGCGACGGCTCCGTGGCACAGAGGCTCAGGAATGAGCTGCAGCGCTGATGGCCGTGGTTTTAAATCCCACACGAAACAAGTATTTGTAATGCCTACATATAAATGTTCCAGTTGTGAATATTTGTCCAAGTGAAATTTATGTATGTATGTATGTACTGCCTCGATGATTCAGGAGAAAATCCTAGTGTAGGGGCAACGTTTTTAGTATTGAAACTGCTTTAATGAGGCTACGACTTTTTCTGCCACCAGGGCAGCGCAACTTAGGAATGAAGTGAAATATTTGACAGCTTTCATAGCCGGGAAAGTCTATTTGTTCGAATAATGTAAGGGTTAATATTTTTTTCTGAAATATTAGTTATATTTTAAATTAAATCAAAAATGGATAAACCAAAATACGGATATTCCTAAGTAGGAAGTAGAAGAATTAAAAAAATAGAAGTAAAAAATAAAAGTCACACCACTAAGACATTCGTTTTGTCTATTTACACACTAGAAACTTTTGTTTAAAACTCAAATTTCTCAATTAAAGTGAGCTTGTATAACAAATAAATTCATTTCACTCCCAACTAGCGACATCTGGTAAGCGTAAAATTATAAGCGCTCATTATGTGGTTCCAGATTCATGGTGGTGACTCGCCAGTGGAGTGTGGCGAGTGTGGCGAGCTGTGCTGGTCGCGCGAGGCGCTGGCGGCGCACACCGCGCAGCGACACCCGTACGCCGCGCCGCGCCCGCGCGCCGACCCCGTCTTCCAGCCAACCGACTCCGGTACGCACGCACACTACACTGCGGTATACTGTACACTGTACACACGCACACTACACTCCGGTACACTGTACACAGTACACACGCACACTACACTCCGGTACACTGTACACACACACTAGCATTAGACTCCGGTACAGTGGACACAATGTGTCATGTCTATGGCATATGTAATGTCTGCTATCTTCTCTAATCACTGTAGTGTAACACAGGCTCGGCACGCACTTTAACTAAACACGTCCACTCTCGTCCGAGGCTCTCGTGTAACTGACGCGGTGCGCTCGAGACAGTGACTTATATATAAATGTATGTTTGTGTATTTGTGCATGGTAAATTATTAGTAAATAAAACAAATAACAATATTTACTGTATACTACATATATGCAAATACTACAGCATACATGCGAATCTGTCATTTTCGCTTAATACTGTTTATTGGCCTAATCTGCCCCCAATGTAATAGAAACAACTGTGACTTGCGCATTTACAAAAAAAATTGATAAAATACATCATAACCTATTATATATACAGAATTGAAAATTTTCCACAGTATGTATTATTACATTGAGGTCGAATTAGGCCAATAAACAGTATTAAGCGACAATGACAGATTCGCTAGTTTGCCATAGACATGACATGATGACATGTACACTACACCGACACCGCACACTAACACTAGACTCTGGTACAGTGTACACTTGTACACCAATACCGACACCGCACACTAGCACCAGACTGGTACAGTATACATATGCACATTGACACCGATACTGCACGATAGCACCATACTTCGGTACAGTGTACACATGCACACTAATACCGACACGGTACACTAGCACCAGACTCCGGCACAGTGTACACATGCACACTGACACCGACACCGCCCACTAGCACTAGACTCCGGTACAGTGTACATATGCACACTAACACCGATACCGCTCCCCGCAGGAAGGTAAACTGGTATTTAAAGACAATCTTTAACTTAAACTCGAGTTTAAACTCAAGCTCAACAATGTCAATTTACATTGTAGAGCTTGAGTTTAAACTCGAGATTGTCTGTAAGTACCGGCATTAAATTCTGATATAAAATTTAGCTGATTAAAAAAAGAAGCTAGACTACCTTCGGTTGACAGGATGTGATCGGTGGCGAGCATCGTCGCTGGTTGTACTCCCGGAGATTCTTGCAACCCTGTCACTCTAACTTCAATTATTACTAATTAGTTATTTAGCTAACTGAAGATAACCGATACCGTCACACACGTAACAATATATATATATATATATATATATATATATATATATATATATATATATATATATATATATATATATATATATATATATATATATATATAATATTAATATTAATTATTTTATTTAAGGCGCAGGTTGAGCAAAATGTCGCGCTAGTCGTTATTTGGGCGGTTTTTAGGAGCTATCTACTTTTTATTTAAAAGATATATCAACAAATAAAAAACACATTATATTTCTACATAATCTTGATTCCATAAAAGCTATATCCAATTTTTTTTAAAGGAATAAATATTAATATAATCTCCTTACAACGAAACCACATAAATGTGAAATTATTATTGATAACATGCATCTCCTCGTAAAGTAAGTATTATTTTGTTTTGCGATTTACACCAATGGATAGGCGATTTATTAATGAACATTTCTATAGTAAAATTTTTTTCAAAAGATCAAAATTTGATTTTATTAAGAAATTATTTTAAAATCTGGGCGTATATACTGCTCACGGGCTTGATGAAGTCAGTGAGCGCTGAGCTCTTCGACGTGAAGCCCGTGTCGTTAGAGCGTCGACCGACGCATACGCCACGTCATATGAGTCGATAATATTATTACTTATTAGGTTATTTATAGGTAGTATTATTTGTTTGTTTTGGGTATAATTTTTCGTATTAGTTATACATATATTTGTTGTGTTTTTTACTGCGCGATGAAGATTTTTGCGTGTATTTTCTTTGAAGTAAATGCAAATAAAAAAATGAAGCACCATTAGCATGTAAGGTTCGAATCCATAATTAAAATTTCGACAAATATTATAATTTACACTATAAAAGGCTAATTCAATATTATCACCCAACCACAATATCTTATCAGGTATAGTACTGCCTCGTTGGTCTAGTGGTTGTAGTAGTGCGACTGCTGATCATGGGGTCCCGGGTTCGAATCCTGGGTTGGGCCAAAAAGTCAGTTATGAGTTTTTCATTTATGTTCTAAGTTATAATTAGTATTACTAAGTTATAGTTTTTTGCTAAAATATAGTATATTATTTATTGCTTGTTTTTTCTTCTTTTTCAAAAAATAATTGAGTACATAAGGTGTTCTATACTTATATCTCGGTAAAAAGTACTAATATACCTACTTTTTACTATAAACTAAAAATTTTTAAAACTAAATTTAACTAAAAAGACTAAGCTGACCATTTATTTTTTAACTCATAACAGGACATGGGTTTATTTATACTCTAAAAACTATAACTTTATACAATTAGTGTTCACTATAAAATTATATTCGGTATAGACGGTAATTATTAAATGCAACATATTTTTTTTAATTATTAATTACATTTGTCAGTGGATTAAATTTGCTTTAATAAAGTTGGTGATGATTTTAAATAAGAATAAAATTCTGCTCAAGTTTTTTATTGTTATCTTTGTTAACAACATCGCCTTTAGAACTCTGGAACCGTAAGTGTTTCTTTCAGACGTCCACAATTTATGCAAAATAAAAAAATACTCTTTCTACCGGAGCATTCGTACCAGGTAGACATAAAATATATTCGATTAAAAAAAATTATGTTGAAGATTGTTGACTTTGAATACTTCCATCCAACGAGTTACGGGACAATTTTGTGTCCCGGTGCTTTGTTTGGGGACAATGGGACAGGAGACCGAGAAAAGGGACAGTCCCGTTCAAAACGGGACGTATGGTCACTTTAGCTATAACCCGGCGACCATGAAGCAAATACAAAGTTAGTCTTTGTATTAGCTTCATGGTGGCGCAGTGGCTTAGCAATCAGTTGTTGCGCTGGGGGCCGCGGGTTCGAATCCCGCATGGAACAAGATTTGTATGGCCTACAAATAATTGTTCCGGGTCTGGATGTTTGTCTTTGTGCAATTTATGTTTGTAAACTGCCTCCACGACACAGGAGAAAATCCTAGTGTGGGTGTAACGTTTTATTACAACTGAAATTGAAAGATTGAACCCTTATACTTCTTGTTGATTTTTTGTACAAATATTTGGTGCAATAAAAAATATATAAATAATATATTTTTTATTGCACCAAATATTTGTACAAAAGCCGAGTTATCTATTTATTTACCTATAGTGAATAGGTATCTTTTAAACTCACAATTTTCAATGCTTCCGTTTATATAATTAATTATAAAATTTCATAATTAGATAATATATGAAAATACATAATTCTAATATAATGCAACTAATATATACAGAATAAAAAAATTAAAATACATTTATCTTTGTACGCTATGTGTATTTCCATAAAACAGTTTATTGATGTTGAAAAAATAATACTACTTTCGTACAATAGGTGGCGTCTTAGATATTTCTTCCGGCGAGCCGCTCGCTACAATATATTAATATTGTAGCGAACGGCGCGCCGGTCAAATGCTCAAGGTCGTTCGCATGGAGTAGCCCCTTAATATAAGTAAGTTTTATCCTATAAAAAAAAGTACAGCGATCTTTTTGAGCACGAGCCGCTGCAAATAACCGGTACAGTATTTAAACACCACGGCGGCTGAGCCCGAAGTGAGTGAGTGAGGCAGTCTATTTGATAAAATAAATGATTACAAGGCTGCTCAATACACCGAAAATTACGGAATTTCTCAACCGAAAAAAGATAATTACAACCAAAGAAAACAAAATGAAATCGCCATTTACATTACATGGCTTCCCACATTATAGATGAGAGATTAGAAAATAGATTAAGTTGAAAAATTGATATTTTCAAAAGTTATCGTGTTTGCCCCTCCATGCGGACATGATAAATCCACACCATAAGCCACTAAAACCACTTTTTTCTTAATGAAAAATAGCAATTAATCGATTGAAAAAAAAATTATAAATTCAACAATCATTTAACTTTCTGACAATTTGCTTTTTGTATCATTTATATGTACAATACTGTTAGATACGATTTCATGCGACAAAACGTTGAAATCTTGATTTTTAGGCCCTTGTGGAACATTACGGTCCGCTCTCGGCCATATTCCCGCGAGATGGCGCTGTAGTCATCATTTTTTAGTTTATTAGGGATTTTGTGTAATTGGAACATTATTAAGTCGTAGAAGTCCTCGGACATTTTACTTTATTGTACTAGGTCATATAGCCTTAAAATCTACACAATTCGACACAAAGCCCTAAAATAACATTTGTCATTGAATATAGTGTCGTTTACACACACACAGTCGTGGGTGAATTCGTAGTCCCTACATTTAAGAAGATTGAACACTAGATGCCGTGAATTAAAAAAAATGTTTTTCTTTTTTCTGTATGGGTTCTGTATGGGTATGCTACTAAATACAGAACGCCACCTGCTACGATATATATAATGTACGATTCATCATCTGCCTAGCCTTTTTCCCAACTATATTGGGGTCGACTCGCGGTCAAACCGGATTCAGCTGAATACCAGTATTTTACGATTATGTTATAAAAATAAAAAGTTATATTTATAGGCGTAAATAAATTATTTAATTCAATAATAATTTCGGGATATAAATTATGTCAACACTAAGAACAATAAAACACAGTTTTATTTTATAACCTTACACTATTGAAATTATTGATCAAAACAAGTATTTGAAGTAACACGCTTGATACATGCCTATTCACTCGAAACTAATAACACAGATGATTTGCAACATAACCAATTATTACGAAAATTTGACATTACATAACACGTAAGAAACTATTCGTAAACAAGAGATAACAACAAATCTAAAACAGCAGCTTATTGAATTGGGCAGGTGGTTATACATACCTAATGAAGTATTATTCCACCCTTTGATTTTATAGTAAATACAAAATAAAAAGAAATATACAACGATAATGTAGATTCTAAACAAACTACAAAAATACAATTAAAACAAAAATCATTTAACTTGTAGATTATTTTTTTTATTAGATTAGTTTTAGTGCAAGAAAATGTCGGTCGCGGTGCAATTAACAATTTCATTGATGCCGGTTGGGGTCGAACCCGGGTTCCTCGCGTACTGTGAAATTTACAGCGAGCGCTAACCACCTGAGCTACTACGGCTTGTTTACCAATTTTTAAACATTATACTTACATTTATTTCTATGCTATTTTTATATAGTCTTATATTTATTATTATTTTATTTATAAATATTTTATTAATAATAAAACAAATTAATAATACTGTGTGTCTGTCTGAGACTGTTTGTAAAATGCGTAATAGGTATTTTAACTATATTTTGCCAATGTTTGCAATTAATTTTGTGACTACTTTGGTGGCTTACCGATTTATAATTTTAGTTATTGTTGACCAAAACAACATTCAAACAAATTAAAATACGAAACACTGACTTTGTAGTTTTGTACTCAACACCGATTCATATGACGTTGGTAATTAGTATTGAGACGAGATTTGAAACTATACCTACAATAAATTACAATATTTTCTATTATATTGAGAATCAAATACGTAATAGAAATTATGCTAATTGAATTAATGAAAGTCAAACAAAAAGTAGTGATAAAATGATTAGTTTTAAACAAATAGTGTCTGTGTTTAGCGAAAATGTCCTAAAAAAATGTATGGGCGGGCTATCGGAGCATCCACCTTAAGGCATGCAAAAAATAAGGAATCTTGTTTTTATTGAAACATTTTTAGCTATGCTTAAGTGGATGTTTTTAACCAGGCTGATTTCCTTACTTCGTCGTTTTTTTTTATTCAAATTATTTTTGTTATACTACGTCACGTTATAAATCCTAATCTGTAATTTAAATGTACGTAGATGATGACATGGAATACCGGCTGTCTCCACTACCACAGGACGGCGAGCGCGCTGTATTTGACAATGTACGAGGACCGGAACTATTCTGCCAGGACTGTGGCGTTGCGTTCCAACGCGTAGACTTACTACGGCGGCATGTTGCAGCAGCGCATAGGTATGTTATAATTTATATTCGAAGCAAGGAAAAAATAGAAATGAGGGGTTATTTCTGCGCATGACATTGAGAAAATAAAAGAAATTATTTTAGGAATCTGTCTTTTTGAACTGATGTTTGTTTCTTAATTAGTGATAAATTTGACACAGCCCTTTTCTTATTTTTGAGAGGGCTTTCTCACGATGTTTTCCTTTACCGTCGAGCGCGTGGTAAATTACACTTACATTTACCTACAATTATAATTACGTGCCGATAGGATCAGAGCTCGACTTCGCTTATATATCCTCTGCTGATCTATCACATTTGCTCGTAATCACATAGTTAAGTACTCCATTTTTTTTTGTCGGCGTATCCATATGCCAGGTGTTTAAAGCTAACCTATGAAGCTATAATGTAGTTTGGTAACATTATAACTAAGTTTTTTATAGTATTGATAGTTTATAAGTAATGTCATTATTCTTACCACTTTGAGAATAATCAATTTTAAGAAAAAATGTATAACTGTCGTTTTCCTTACTTATAGTTGCGTGAGTTTTTGAAGTGAAAACTTCTTTAGACACGTTGAGTGATTTTTGGTAGGAAAAAAAACTTATGGGCTCACGTCACCGATGACCTCGACATACTCGTGACGTATTTTACAATTTGTCACGAGCATGTATACTACGCGTAGTATAGCGGCCTGTGTATATGTATACGCATATATCATTGAGTTTTCACTTCTGTCGACAGTCCTTATGACCGCCTTTGGTTTTTGTTTTATAAGCTACTATTTTTCTCATCAATTAACTATACTTATTGAGGTTGTTATAACTTAATTTTCTTAATTCTGCATAAAGAAAGAAAACGATATGTCCTGTTCAGTTTGAAGGGGACCTTTCTCCTTCACTCTATTACGTGTACTATACGCTTCACCACCAAACCCAGAATCACCACTCCCAGCATCGTCACTCCCAAAACTACCAGACCAGGAACGACACACCACTCAATAATACGACACGTGATTCGTCTCCACACTCATCCTCAGGTGAAGTAGACTGCGGAGACAAGCAACTAAACTATACTTATTGCTACAATAGACATAATTTATAGATATTGTGGGGTTGTTATAAACTAATATGCTTAATTCCGCGTAAAGAAAGAAAATGATGTGACCTGCCCAGTTTAAGGGGACCTCCCACCCTCCCTCAATCGCGCGCACTATACCCGTCGCCGTTAATCCCAGCACTACCACCCCCAGCACCAACACCAGCACACTAGACACGACACACCACTCTCGAAAATACGACACGTGTTTCGCCTCTACACGAGGCATCCTCAGGTGAAGTAGACTCTGCGGAGGCTGGCCGCTAAGTGAGCGGCTAGCCGAAACTACTGCTATTTATACTACTTGCTGACGCAACCGCGCTCCAATTATAATTTATAAAGATATGTTAGATATTTGTCTAAAGTCTGGTGCTTATAAACTTGTTTGTGACGAATGCCAAGCCGTTTACGTGGGTCAGACTGGTCGCAACTTCGAAACACGTTATAAAGAGCATTTAGCCGCGTACAGGAATTGTAACCCCGATAAATCACATTTTGCTAAACATCTGTTAGACACTGGACACAGCCTATACAATGACCACTCCTTTAAAGTCTTACATACTTGTAATAAAGGGCTACGACTGTGTGTGCTGGAACAGTTAGAGATATTAAAAAATAATAACGGTAATGTTGCACTGTTGAATGAACAAACAAATGTTTCCAACTCGCCTCTCTTAAACATGTTTAAGCCTGCTCCTTGATGATATATAGCCTCGCAACATGGTCGTTTGTCACCCTCACGGTGCGGTGGTCAGCGTTTGGTTGCGTGGTTTTTTTTTTTATAGGATAAGGGTGACAAACGAGCACACAGTCCAACTGATGGTAAGTGGTTGCTGCGGCCCATAGACATCTACATCTATCCTCTATTACAAATCAAAATGTAGATGCGTTGTCACCCGTGAGGACTAAGATGGAATGCCTCATTTCCAGTAAAAAGGGCCTCCGGCCACCTGCACTCACCAAGCGAAACGCAGAGGTAAACCTCTACTTCACGCTGGTTTTTTGTGAGGTCGTGGTACCACCCCGGTTCGAGCCGGCCCATCCGTGCGACAGCAAAAGCTGCCGCGTGGCTCTACCACTGTTAAAAAATTTGTTGTAGGGTAGGCGGACATTTCGCAGTAGTTTGTTGTTAATTTCACAGCAAATATCGGCGTACGTCAGGCGGTGATTGATCGCATGACGTAATCGCTCGCTACGTAATAGGAGCGCGGTTGCGTCAGCAAGTAGTATAAATAGCAGTAGTTTCGGCTCGCCGCTCACTTAGCAGCCAGCCTCCGCAGAGTCTACTTCACCTGAGGATGCCTCGTGTAGAGGCGAAACACGTGTCGTATTTTGGAGAGTAGTGTCGTGCCTAGTGTGCTGGTGCTGGTGCTGGGGGTGGTAGTGCTGGGATTAACGGCGACGGGTATAGTGCGCGCGATTGAGGGAGGGTGGGAGGTCCCCTGAGGGTGGGAGGTCCCCTTAAAACTGGGCAGGACACATCATTTTCTTTCTTTACGCGGAATTAAGCAAATTAGTTTATAACAACCCCATTATAATGGATTTCTGCAAAGTAACGCCTGATTCTATCAATTATCTTATAGATTTGGCTTATTGAAGATATTAATGGTTTCAAATTACGATTTGTTTATTTTATAAGCATTTACTAGTTAATGTTTTGAAATAATGACAAACTGCCACTGATGTCACACGTAACTCGAAATGCGCGAATCTCTGCTTAATATTTGTACGCAGGTTTTCCAAATGCCCAATTCCTATATTCAAAGAAAGTTTTGTTCTTGGTTTTATTACATAAGAAGTGCACGTCAAAATAGTTTATATTACAATTATTCGCTTGGCATCTTAAGGTGGTTTAAAAAGCAACAACATTCAATAAAAAAGGGGATTTTATGCACCTCTTAAACTTAAAGGAAAACGAACGAACTTATGTCATATCCTGACCAAAAGTAAAATTACCAGTTGTAATATAAGAAAGACCCGGGTGCATCGCTTGATATATATGTGAAGCGGCGCACACGGCGTCGTGACGCGAGTCGTTTGCGCTGCAGCTACAAGCGGCACGACAGCACGAGCAGCACGTGGGCGGAGGCGGAGCACACGTGCGACGTGTGCGGCGAGAGCTGCACGGACGCGCTGCAGCTGCTGGCGCACGCCGAGGGACACGCCGAGCGCCACCGCCCCGCCGCGCCCCGGTACCCACGCCGCCTCACACCGCCTCACACGCCTTGTATCACACCGCGCCTCACTGATTCATACCTTCTTACATCGACTCTCGCTGCCTCACACGCCTCGTATCACACCCCGCCTCACTGATTTATACCTTCTCACACCGGCTCACGCTGCCACACACCACCTCACACGCCAGGTATCACACCGCGCCTGACTAATTCATACCTTCTCACACCGGCCCACGCTGCCTCACACCGCCTCACACGCCTCGTATCACGCACCGCGCCTCACTGATTCGTACTTTCTCACACCGGCTCACGCTGCCACACACCACCTCACACGCCTCGTATCACACCGCGCCTCACTGTTTCATACCTTCTCACGCCGCCTCACACCGGCTCACACTGCCTCACACCGCTTCACGCCTCTCCACACCAACCCACGCCGCCTCACGCCGGCTAGAAGCTAGTAAACTTCTATTTAAAACAAATAATTATGAGGATATAGTGTAACAAGTAACTTTACCTCAGTCCTAGCTAGCGATGTCAGTTCTGGTGAGCGGAAGATTAAAAGCCCTTTTCGACTGTCTCCATTATTCCATTACGGCTATCAAAGCCCCACACCTAAACATACTCCTCATCCATAGATTGCCTCATACGGAGGATATTTTTCATAGTGATGGCCACTTGGTTGCCAAACGTTGATCTGAGTTTTAGATTTACATAATATATAGTTATGCATGCATAATAACATCTACTTACCGTCAGGTAAACTATGCTATCGTTTGTACCTGCGACTTCGCTGCAGTGTACTCTGCCGTAAGTTGCGGCGCTACCGCCGTTACGTTGTTTTATTGATTGATCGTTTGCATTTTCGATTAAATTAATTTTATCTTGCCTTTTCGAGTAAATTAATTTTAATTATCGAATAAAAAACGAAAAAGATTAAAATATGCCATTTTTAATAAAAAAATTATTTCATTCGCAGTGTCATAACTGGCAATAACTGGTTACGGTATCTCTTATTTCTCTTGTGTAACAAGAAGCAGTTCCTAGGCATTAGTGATCAAAAATATGAGATTTTATGATGAAACACAAATTGCAAGCGAATAGGCGTTAGCCACTGTATTACCGAAACGTCAAATTTAGTTTATTATTTATCTGTTATGTATACATATGGTAAGTTATAGTCGTTGTAGTATTTGCAGATAATTCTGTAAAATTTGTTTTTTGCAGATTAAAAAGAATGGGTCGCGGTAAAAGCAACACAACAAATTCAAATATTTTAAGACAATTCCCATGTAGAGAGTGTGGTAAGTATATTAAAACTTTAAAATATAATATAATTGAATATTCAAACCCCATTTGTCATTCTATTAGCTTTTTAAATATGTATGAACTTCAAAGGAATTTTATTATTTAATGAACTGATCAACAATTTTCTTATTAACTTTTATGGACATATAATTTAATAACAAGAATATCAATATGAATAAACAGATATGTCGAAGATATGTAATATGTACAAAAAAAAGATTTTCCTCTCCTTTTGTTCACTTATTGCGTAACGCTGCTGCGTTTCCTATAGTTGATGATGTGATGCGCATCACCATACCAACACTCTATCTTGTCTCTCCTTCTCCGAAATTCCACCTGGGCTAAGACGGACAGAGGGAGGGAACAATCCAGAGTACGCTCTTTTCTAAAAAACCCCAGCTTTCATGCCGCCTCCTCCATTGATTAACAACGATATTCCAATGTTTTTCGGAGCTCTGCATAAAAAGCGTGTACGTGTTCCAGGCAAGGTGTTTGGTTCTCGCAGCTCGCAGCAGATCCACATTAGGATTCACACGGGCGAGCGGCCCTACGCATGCCGTTTCTGCTGGAAGGCCTTCGCTGACGGCGGTACTCTTCGCAAACACGAGCGGATACATACTGGTATGTCTGTGTTCTTATTACTGTATACCATTAAAATATGTGTCTTAAGAAAGTTTTATAGCCACTTCTTAAGCTACTATTTTCGAGTAACAATATGGTTCGATCAAACTATTCTCTTTAGAGTTTGAATCTTAATTTGATTACTTACCTCATTTAATATTTTTTACCCTATTATACCGTTTATGATCTCTACTAATATATTGACGGAATACAACGTCAAAATGATGCTAAACACGATTTCCGTCAGTTATTTGACCAACTAATAATGCGGACTACGAGCAAGATGACATAGCTCGTTAGCAGTAAAAAGCGTCGTTGTACTCGCACTCACCATACGAAACTATACAGCATAGACTATTATAGTATACTTTTTTTTTATAGGATAAGGGTGACAAACGAGTACACAGTCCACCTGATGGTAAGTGGTTGCTGTGGCCCATAGACAACTACATCTATCTTCGACTAAGAATCAAAATGCAGATGCGTTGTCACCCGTGAGGACTAAGATGGTTTGCCTCGTTTCCAGTAAAAAGGGTCTCCGGTTCTCTACACTCACCATACGAAACACAAACGCGTTAAGCTGCTATTTTACGCTGATATTCTGTGAGAGCGTGGTCCTTCCCCGGTTGAGCCGACCCATTCGTGCTACAACCATAATATAGCTGCAGCATGGCTCTACCACGTATAATATTAAATTGGTAATTTATTAAAAGTGTGGTACTCCCCGTGAAATCGAGTCATTGGTTGGCTTGACGCTAGCGCGTAAATACATGCCTGGCATAGAAGTGTTTGTGTGGTTGAGAAGGTTAACTGCCTCGTTGGTCTAGTGGTCGTAAGCGCGACTGCTGATCATGAGGTGGTGTCGGGCTATAATTGAAATACGTTATAATTTGGAGCAGTAGGCGAGCACTAGTTGTGTATTATGCGTTAGTGAGGTAGTGCGTGGTCGGTTGCAGGCGAGAAGCCGTACGCGTGCGCCGTGTGCCCGCGCGCGTTCAACCAGCGCGTGGTGCTGCGCGAGCACGTGCGCTCGCACCACTCCGCGCCCGACCGCCGCGCCAACGGTACGTCACACGAACATTATAGTTGTATTGAACCAGCGCGTGGTGCTGCGCGAGCACGTGCGCTCGCACCACTCCGCGCCCGACCGCCGCGCCAACGGTACGTCACACGAACATTATATTTGTATTGAACCAGCGCGTGGTGCTGCGCGAGCACGTGCGCTCGCACCACTCCGCGCCCGACCGCCGCGCCAACGGTACGTCACACGAACATTATAGTTGTATTGAACCAGCGCGTGGTGCTGCGCGAGCACGTGCGCTCGCACCACTCCGCGCCCGACCGCCGCGCCAACGGTACGTCACACGAACATTATATTTGTATTGAACCAGCGCGTGGTGCTGCGCGAGCACGTGCGCTCGCACCACTCCGCGCCCGACCGCCGCGCCAACGGTACGTCACACAAACATTATATTTGTATTGAACCAGCGCGTGGTGCTGCGCGAGCACGTGCGCTCGCACCACTCCGCGCCCGACCGCCGCGCCAACGGTACGTCACACAAACATTATATTTGTATTGAACCAGCGCGTGGTGCTGCGCGAGCACGTGCGCTCGCACCACTCCGCGCCCGACCGCCGCGCCAACGGTACGTCACACAAACATTATATTTGTATTGAACCAGCGCGTGGTGCTGCGCGAGCACGTGCGCTCGCACCACTCCGCGCCCGACCGCCGCGCCAACGGTACGTCACACAAACATTATATTTGTATTGAACCAGCGCGTGGTGCTGCGCGAGCACGTGCGCTCGCACCACTCCGCGCCCGACCGCCGCGCCAACGGTACGTCACACAAACATTATATTTGTATTGAACCAGCGCGTGGTGCTGCGCGAGCACGTGCGCTCGCACCACTCCGCGCCCGACCGCCGCGCCAACGGTACGTCACACAAACATTATATTTGTATTGAACCAGCGCGTGGTGCTGCGCGAGCACGTGCGCTCGCACCACTCCGCGCCCGACCGCCGCGCCAACGGTACGTCACACAAACATTATATTTGTATTGAACCAGCGCGTGGTGCTGCGCGAGCACGTGCGCTCGCACCACTCCGCGCCCGACCGCCGCGCCAACGGTACGTCACACAAACATTATATTTGTATTGAACCAGCGCGTGGTGCTGCGCGAGCACGTGCGCTCGCACCACTCCGCGCCCGACCGCCGCGCCAACGGTACGTCACACGAACATTATATTTGTATTGAACCAGCGCGTGGTGCTGCGCGAGCACGTGCGCTCGCACCACTCCGCGCCCGACCGCCGCGCCAACGGTACGTCACACGAACATTATATTTGTATTGAACCAGCGCGTGGTGCTGCGCGAGCACGTGCGCTCGCACCACTCCGCGCCCGACCGCCGCGCCAACGGTACGTCACACGAACATTATATTTGTATTGAACCAGCGCGTGGTGCTGCGCGAGCACGTGCGCTCGCACCACTCCGCGCCCGACCGCCGCGCCAACGGTACGTCACACGAACATTATATTTGTATTGAACCAGCGCGTGGTGCTGCGCGAGCACGTGCGCTCGCACCACTCCGCGCCCGACCGCCGCGCCAACGGTACGTCACACAAACATTATATTTGTATTGAACCAGCGCGTGGTGCTGCGCGAGCACGTGCGCTCGCACCACTCCGCGCCCGACCGCCGCGCCAACGGTACGTCACACAAACATTATATTTGTATTGAACCAGCGCGTGGTGCTGCGCGAGCACGTGCGCTCGCACCACTCCGCGCCCGACCGCCGCGCCAACGGTACGTCACACAAACATTATATTTGTATTGAACCAGCGCGTGGTGCTGCGCGAGCACGTGCGCTCGCACCACTCCGCGCCCGACCGCCGCGCCAACGGTACGTCACACAAACATTATATTTGTATTGAACCAGCGCGTGGTGCTGCGCGAGCACGTGCGCTCGCACCACTCCGCGCCCGACCGCCGCGCCAACGGTACGTCACACAAACATTATATTTGTATTGAACCAGCGCGTGGTGCTGCGCGAGCACGTGCGCTCGCACCACTCCGCGCCCGACCGCCGCGCCAACGGTACGTCACACAAACATTATATTTGTATTGAACCAGCGCGTGGTGCTGCGCGAGCACGTGCGCTCGCACCACTCCGCGCCCGACCGCCGCGCCAACGGTACGTCACACAAACATTATATTTGTATTGAACCAGCGCGTGGTGCTGCGCGAGCACGTGCGCTCGCACCACTCCGCGCCCGACCGCACGGTAGTGGACCGCCAAGCATCCAAATTATGTGGATGGTAACGTAAGTTTTGTCACGATGTATTTTGGTGAAATTTGGTGGCTGGAATTAATCAGAAGAATTCCTCAGAGCACTCCCCGTATTAAATACGATAGAAAATCGAGCCAATAAAAGAAAACTAGGTCGTCGACGATTCAAGCCGCTCTGCTCTGCAATCAAGTAGAAGGAGTTCGCACTGGGGAGACCCGGCCCAGAGATGAAAAAAGTAAGCCACATGAGGCCGAACCTGCGCTTGTTAAGTTGCAAACGGTCACTTTTTTGTTCACGGTAGTGTCCCGCTCTACTAAGTACGCCAAGCTTTTTAGAAGACTTCTTTTCCAAGTGACCCCATGCTACTGCAGGTCATTCGATATGTCGACGCCGAAGATTCCGCTATTGGCTACGGCAACAACGGAAGTGTTCTGAAATTGAGGAGATACGACAAAGGTGTTCTTTTTAACGGTAAGCGCTTGTGATTTTGTATAATAATTTATTTTGAAACGACCTTTAAGTTCATCGCTTTCCAAAAATATATTAGATTTAAAGTGTATTTTTGTAAAACAAACTAATTTGAAAAACATGAAGGCGCTCTCTTATTGGAGATTTGACGTTTCGCGATGTGCCTTCGACGCCGACCGACCAATCATATGCTATTATTATAGCGCTTAATAAACCTAGTGATGTCATCCAAGATACTACCAATGTGACTGCTGTTTGAATTGATTCTTAGTTATTGGAAATTAAATATTATATTTCATTACATTTCATTTCATTAATGACGTTATTCATAACTTAAAACGTTTAAATGAATTTTTTGGTGTGATGGGAGTCATAGTAAATAGATTTATACAATAAAAAAGCATGCATATTCCATATTATTATATCGTAAAGCATTACAAACTTAGTAACCTTCAACAGCATTATCGATACTTTGTTGTCGAAACGGTAACATTTTTTACCCCAAACGTGTTTTTACCCTACATTTAGTAGCGTCACTTACTGGGGAATAGCTGAAATATTTTCCAAATAAATATTCTGCGTAGTTTTGCTATGTTTAGCTAGAGGGCGTCACACACGCGTGCTCAAAGTGTTTGTATGAATACGCTATGTCCGCTCTATAGTATACACCTATATATTTAAATTTCTTTGATAATAACAAATGCTTATAAATATGAATCTCAAGTACTTAATTTGGGATTATCAGACCATACTGCGCAATTAATTAGCATTGCGTGTAGTTATAACTTTAGGAAAAAACACTGGTTTATTTATAAGATAAATATAAATTGCAATTATTTATCCCAAATTGGTTTTCGTGAAGTTTATCGGGAAAAGAATGTGAACTTGGCACATAAATAATCTATACAAATAAATAAAATTGAAGTGTCTGTTGTAATGTCAAAATAACAGCTTTTTACTAAATCCATATGAAAGTTTATACGGTACATAGAACAAAACTTCAATTTTTAAAATTTTTGTATGTCTGTCTGTTTGTTCCGGCTAATCTCCGAAACGGTTGGACTGATTTCGACGGGAAGTTCACTAGCAGATAGCTGATGTTATAAGGAGTAACTTAGGCTACTCATATTTAAAAAAAAAAGAATTATGGTTCCTTGCAACATAATTAAATTACACGCGGGCGAAGTCGCGGGGAACAGCTAGTTTTTAATATATTTAACTTGATCTTTACCCTAAGTTTCCACTTAAAAATTACACCAAAAAATAAATCTAATTGGCTTACGAAAGGAATAAAAATATCCAGTAGAAACAAAAGGAAATTATATCTAAAAACACTGAAAAATAAATATTTTGCTAAAACAAGTAGATGTAAAAAATATAATTGAATTGTAAAAGAAATCTAATATAAAATATATTGAATCTAGTATTAATAAAACAAAAGCTACATGGAACTTGATAAAAAAATAACACCAATTCATAAAAAATATAAAATTTATCAGGTTCATAGTCAGTGAGCCAAATGAAATGGTAGAAATTTTTAACAACTTATTTTCTCTACACGTAATTATCATAATTATAATGTTGGATCTAATAAAACTCTAGTAATTCATTTAATTGCAGCTGTATTATCTTATCAACGATCAACATAAATGATGTCAATAAAATAGTTTATCAAATAAAACCGAAAAAATCTTTTGGCTATGATCATAATATATCGATGTATTTAATTAAACAATGTTTAAAGTATATTTCAGAACTAATAGTGTATATTATAAATCTAATGATAGGAACAGGTACATTTCCAAATGACCTAAAAATTGCTCTTATAAAGCCTATTTACAAAAAAGGATCCAAGCAAGACCCAAATAATTACAGACACCTAACAAGCTTTTCCAAATTCGAAAAAGTTATTTATAACTAGCTGTTTTTATGTTTTTGCGCGGTACCCTAATTCTTTTCCTAAATTAAAAGTAGCCTAAGTTACTCCTTATAAAATCAGCTACCTGCCAGTGAAAAGTCCCGTCAAAATCGGTCCAGCCGTTTCGGAGATTAGCCGGAACAAACAGACAGACAGACAAAAATTAAAAAAAATGTGTTTTTGTTATAAGTACCGTACCGTACTTTCATATGCAATTAGTAAAAAGCTGTAATTTTGACATTACAGACACTTCAATTTTATTTATTTGTATAGATAAACTGTGTTAATATTGATAAAATTTTAAATCCTAACCAATATGGATTTCAAAAAGGCAAAAACACGTCATTAGCTATATTTAAAATCATGAAACATATTTGGGATGATTTGAACGAAAAAATCCATGTTTTGCCCTTTTCTTAGATATGACATAGGCATTTGACTGTGTTAATCATGAAATTTTACTGAAACAATTGGGAAATATTGGCATTCGCGGAATTGCTCTAAAACTATTTTAAATCATACCTTGAACATCGACATCAAGCAACTATTTTAAATATATATAATAATAATATAACTATTGAAACAGTTAAGTCAAAGCTTAAATAAGTTCACATTGGTGTACCTCAAGGAAGTATACTCGGTCCATCTTTGTTTTTAATATATGTTAACGAAATATTAAAATCACTAAATATTTAACAATAATGTGTGCTGATGATGCTACAGTCTTTAGTACTGGTAAGCTAATACATAATACAGAACTTGAAAGTGAAATTAATAAGTCCGTAAAAGACAACAGAAACTAAAATTCTTCAATTTAGAAATTATAATACCATTTAAAAATATAATTTGATGCTCATTCGTAGAGGAAGTAGGATAATACAAGCTTTCTTGGAGTTAAAATCGACGCACCGCAATTGGAATTCGCACATAGAAAAGATTAACAAGAAAATATCGAGCTTTTGCTATGTTCTTTCAATACTTTCTTGGTCAACCTCTGAATCTGTTACTAAAAATGCATACTATGGATATATTTATCCACTGTTATTGTATGGTATAATTTTTTTGGGGTAATGCAACTAACATAATTGAAACGTTTATACTGCAGAAACGATGTTTGCGTATCATACACCGTAAGACAAATAGACAAAGCCTAAGGAATTTATTTAAAGAAAAACTGTTTTTAACCTTTACTTAAAGTTGTGCCTATTTATGAGAAATAAATGCGGTTTATTTGAACATTAACTTTCAACGTGGCAAAATTTACGCCCTTGCTATCAAAACTATCTTTATCTACCTAAATCTACTTAAAATTAAAAATAAATTGTTTCATAAAAGTGCATACATAACAATTAAAGTATTCAATGACTTACATAATAGTATGAAAACAATAAAAGGACCCCAATTCAAACATAAACTAAAAAACTGGTTGGTAGAACAAACGTTTTATACGCTAAATGAATTTAATATTTTTAGAAGTTAATACCGTGTTCTTCATTCTTATAAGCATTTTTTTTAAACATTTTATCTTATAAGTTAATTGTAAATCTATTGTACGCCTGATGAGGCAACTGTTGATACCTTTTATAATATGTCATCTTTTACTATTGTTCACAGTAATGCAATAAATAAATAATAATTATTATTATCTTCATCAACAACCAATATTTGATATTTGCAGGAGGAAATGCATACTGCTGTGTGGTGTGTGGTCGGACTTTGCATTCCAGTGTGGAGTTGGTGCAGCATTTGATACAACACTGCGATGCTAACACCGCATTGAAGAGACAACCACAGGTATGTATGTCACACGGTACACTTCAAAGGAATATTTTTCGCTATTTACAACAGAAATTAGTGTAATATACTTGGACGCATTGCTGTGTAGTGAAAATACGTACACAAATAAGAGAACAGCAGTACAAATCAAATTAAGAAATATTATAAATATAAGTTATATTAAGTATTATTTAAAAATTATGTCTTGCGTATAGAAAGAATTTAAGTATGCCAATAAATTAGAAATGAGATAGTTTATATGGCACAGCATAGTATGAATTATATTCGGTTGAATAAAATAAATTCTGCTATGTTATATGTGACAATATTTTTTTATAGGAGGGGGCAAACGAGCATGCTACTCACCTGATCGTGACTACCACCGCCTATGAACCACTGCAACACCAGGGGAATTGCAGATGCGTTGCCGGGCTTTTAAAAAAGCGTAGGCTCTTTTCTTGAAGGTCCCTAAGTCGTATCGGTGCGGAAAAATCGCTGGTGGTAATCGATTCCACAAGGAAGTTGTGCGAGGAAGAAAATATCTTCTAAATCGCACAGTGGTGGATCGCCAATCAACCAGATGGTATGGATGGTATCGCGAGTATATATTATAATCTATGCAGTAAAGACGATTCATTAAAATTGGTGCTACCGTATTATTTTCACGTGATACGAATATGTGTAAAATTTATGTTTTGCCTTTTTTAAATAATAATTTACTTGACACTGCAGAGCGGGCCGCGGAAGTACAAGCGTCGACGGAAACTGAAGAGCGAAGTTGTATCTCCGAAGCGCGAGTGGGAGGAGCCGGAGCGCGCGTCGTCCCCGTCGGGCGCGTCGCTCATGTCGCGCGTGTCGCACGCGTCGCACGCATCGCACGCGTCCCGCGACAGTCCCGCGCGCGCCTCGCCGCCGCGCCGCCGCCGCCGCGCGCCCGCGCCGCCCGCGCCCCGCCCCCGCATGATACACACCGAGGAGCCGCGCCCCCGGACCAAGCAGGTGCCTTCATTTACTCATTTATTTTTAACCTAATATTATATACGTATATGGAGGTGGGAGATAAATCAATTTACAAATAATTAAGTGAAACGCTCCCGAAAACGAAGACAGATGATAGTACTAATGATACTTTTGATGATGGGTTACAAAGAAATTCGCACCCGAGGAAAAAATCATATTTTCACAACGTTTTATTTACTTTATTCACTCTCCATCATGTTAGTACATCTAAATGAAACGATAATTTCATAAAAAAAAATCATGAGAATACTTAAACTTAAAACCAGTAGTGAAACTTAAAATAAAAGAAGCTGACAAGAGGGTCCAATATTCTCGCGGACGCCGAACTCTTATCTAACTCGGTCCGAAATAATGCCTACTCATTCTACCCTTCACTTTCACACACGCGATACCGCCGCCCGGCCGGCTCGTGTCGCCTCGTGCAGTGGAATTTACACATGTCAGCTTTGCCAACATGTGGGGAATTCCCAAAATTGCGAGAAATTTAAAGTAAGTTGGGGATTTTATGGGGATTGGTATTATGCGGGGAAAATACGGGGATTTTTAAAATCGATAGCCAGGGCCAAGTCAGAACCTTTTTTCAAGAAATCTGAATACTTGTGTCAACATTTTGTTAGGTTACCTAGGAATATCGAATGACTCCCTTTTTTTAATTATCTTCATTATACCTCATTTAATTTTCGGATTTATTTCGGAAACTTTTGTATATCATTTAATGTTTTTCATTTCTTTATTTTTTAATTTTAAAGAAAAAACATGTTAGTTAAAAAGTAAGTCTTATAAAATTAGTTAAAAATTGATTCATTTCTGATAATAAAATTGAGGGGAATTTGTGGGGAATCTGTTAAAATTTTGTCCTTTAATTAATTTAACATGAATTTTCGGGGAATTTGACAAATTGGTGTTGGCAACGCTGCCATGTTGCACCGAAATTTAGTTTGCCGGCAACATAAGAATTATTAGAGGCGGCAATCACTATAAAACTTGCAAGTAATTTTTTATAATTTTGACGTACCTCTTTTTAAATTCAAAGTATTAGGTAAAATAAAGTAAAAGTATTATTTTTTAGATTAATTACCTGTCGATTATAATTGCGATTGATTTTAACTATTAAATTATTTAGTACCATTTCATTTTTATTTTCTTATACAAAATCAAAAATAACGATGAAATAGTGTTTATAATGGGTCTGACAAACGTTTTTTTTACTTTTTTCATATCTTAAAAAGTGGCTGGCACTCCCGCTCATACAACAATCGCGCTCTCGTCTGCACGCCGCTGCGCAGTAAAAATCACTTTTTTAAAGTTCTCTGTGGTAAAAATGGGAAAAAAAAACTGTATTTCAATCTCAGTGCTTCAATTCAACAGTTAAAACACCTGATAAACTCTTTTTTTATATGCCTGAGAACCCAAAAATGAGGAAAAAGTGGATGACAGTCGTAAAAAGAGTTGATTCAATAGGCCCTAAAACTAAAGCGCACTGCTGTGTGTGCTTATCCTTCTTCTTTACCTATCCTAGTCAAGGAATAAGAGCAAGGATAGGTAGGTTTAGTAAACATACCTACTTGTCTACTTTGATTGTTTAGATAGATAGGTATCTTGCCAAAGTTGCCAACTACCTAGCACCTAGTAGCAGCGCAGTGCAGTGCTCCTCAACCATCTTTATTGGTGGGCCGCCAAATACACAAAATACACAAAGTACATACATTAAACACGGTTTTTATTTAGGTTTTCGAAACGTACGTTTTTAGTGTACTATTAGAACGGCTTAACCGATTTTGATAAAACATGTCTATGAACCACTGTTAAAAAACAACATTAAATACAAAATAAAAAAAAACATGACGGTTCACCCATTTATGAGCTACAGTACTACAAAGAGACATACCGACACACAGACATACGTATAGACACTCAGGTAGACATACAGACAGACACACATAGCGGTCAAACTTATAACACCCCTCTTTTTGCGTCGGGCATTCAATTTTTTTCAAAAAGAATAAATATTAAAATAATCTCCTTACAACGAAACCATATAAATGTGAAATAATTATTGATAACATGCATCTCCTCGTAAAGGAAGCATTATTTTATTTTGCGATTGACACTAATGGATAGGCAATTTATTAATGAACATTTCTATCATAAATTTTTTTTCAAAAGACCAAAATTTGATTTTATTAAGAAATTATTTTAAAAATTGGGCGTATTCACTGCCCACGGAGTTGCTGGAGTCAGTGAGCGCTAAGCTCTTGAAAGTGAAACCCGTGTCGTTAGTCACGGCGTCGGCCAGCGCACACGCTCACGTCATCTTATCAGTCGATAATATTATTATTACTTATTAGGTTATTTATAGGTAGTATTATTTGTTTGTTTTGGGGATAATTTTTTCGTATTAGTTATACATATATTTGTTATGTTTTTTACTGCGCTACTAATAAAAGTTGTTTATCTTAACTATTATCAAAACGACATCCTATACTAATATTTTAGGGTTATAAATATGCTGTAAAACTATATTAATACACGTTTTCACTTAGTTTTGTCGGTAATTTCACTTTTAATATTGTCTTTAATCACTTATGTGCGGGTAGGGCATGACCTGTCACCCATGTTTAGCGTCCAAACGGGCATAAAGCAGCGTTGTGTCATGTCTTCCTGGCTTGTTCATACTGTATCTCGACAGCTGTTTACAGAAGCTGAAAGATAGCTGTTTGGGTGTGAAATTGGGTGACATAAAAGTAAATTGTCTGCTGTATGATGATGATGCAGTGCTTATTGCAGAGGCAGAACTGCAGGCATTAGTCACCTGTATGAAAGAGGAATGTGAAATTAAAGTTCTCCGTTTGAATGCTAATTAAACTAAGGTTCTGGTATTTGAAAAGGACGAAGAGAGAACGAAGTGTGAAATATGGGTAAATCAGGAATGTCTAGAACAGGTAAATGAAATTATATACTTGGGGAGTGCTTTTAGCCGGGATGGAAGATGTGATTTAGATGTGGACAGGCGTGTCGCTGCCGGGAACAAAGTCAATGGTGCCCTGACTGCGTTAATCAAAAGGCAAGGCGCAGTGAAGAGTGCACGCCTTGCAATACATAACGCAGTGTTGGTACCGACTTTGTTATATGGCAGCGAAACCTGGGTATGCCAGAAGAAGCATAAAAGCAAGTTGAATGCAGTGGAGATGCGATCTCTTCGTAAAATGTGCGGCGTTACCATGCCCGACCGAAAGCGAAACGAAAAGATTCGCAATATGGCAGGTTTGAAAGATGACCTTATCACAAAAATTGATAAGGGCGTGCTTCGATGGTTTGGGAACGTTGAGCGAATGAGTGAAGACCAAATGGTGAAGAAAATATATAGCGCGAAAGTTAATATTAAAAGGTGTCGAGGTTGACCGAGACTAACTTTCGAAGACCATGTGAGCAAATTGCTCGAAGAGGGGAGGGTCAAGAGTACTCGGATACCTAGACGTGCATGTATAAAGAAAATAATGAATCTGAAAGAAGCGAAAGAGGTATGTAAGGATCGTGACACTTGGCGATCTGTTCTCTCTGGCTACCCCGTCAGGGATTGTGCGTGACGATAAGTAAGTAAGTTTAATCACTTCGATTTTAAACACTATTTGGCCGTCGCGAACAGTTCTAGTTTTTTATTTCTTCTATTGCCAACTCTATTAAAAGGTAACCTGCACTACTTACCTTCACAACAAATTGAGCATGTCGACTTCGATATGTCAACTTTCTCTCCCAAGTCCATGCCTTCTACTGCAGCACGTGTTTTATACAAATACTTGCTATTCACATGCCCCAATCTGCGATGCCACATACACTCAATAAGTTTTGAGATGCTCGAAATTTAAAAATGGAACGCACCCGTGTTATATGTTTCTAAAAAGCAAATTTATTTAAAAATAGAACTCCATAAGCCAACTGTTCAATATTAAAAAAAAAACAAAGTTCTATGTATATTCCCAGGGATGGAAAAATCATGATTTTTTTAATTTTAATCAAATCATGCTGATTTTTTTTAAAAATCATGATGTTTTTGATTTTTTTGAATTTTTTGATTTTTTTTTTGTATATTTGGAAATTCACGAGTTGGTAACACTTTTTGACATAGTAGGATTAAAAGTTTATAAATACACTAGCGTACCTCGCGACTTCGCCCGCATGTTATTTGGGGTTTTAGTTTTTTTGCGCGGAACCCTAATTATTGTTCTAAAATAAAAGTAGCATAAGTTACTCCTTATGACATCAGCTATCTGCCAGTGAAAGTCCCGTCAAAATTGATTCAGCCGTTTCAGAGATTAGCCGGAATAAACAGACAGACAGACAGACAAAAATTTTAAAATTGTGTTTTTGTTATACGTATCGTATATATACTTTCATATGCATTTAGTAAAAAGCCGTAAATTTGACATTACAAATAGACACTTCAATTTTACATATTTGTATAGATATGTATGAGACTGATTAAGAGTAAAATAATTAATACTGTATTAATTACAGTTCATACATTAAGGGTGAATTTCTAAAAAAAAATTGATTTTACTAAGTTTATGAGACTGACAGAGCTCATCGCTACGTTGTTGTTGATTTTCCAAAGTTTATTAGACTATTGTAGTAGAATAATAAGAATAACATAAAACAACAAAAGATTTTACTTTATTTTAAGCCAGTTTTATTTCATTTTCTGCTTATTACATTAATTTATAGATTTTGATTTAAATCAATGATTTTTTTAATCAAAATCAAGCGATTTAAATCGTGATTTAAATCATGATTTAAATCAGCCTGATTTAAATCAGCCAACCCTGTCCTGCAACGCTTCCCACGCTTTTCATTCAAAACGATGGATCTTAACCGTGAACATTTGCGCGTTATGATTTATTGTGATTTTAAATTTGGTTGAACCGAACAATTAAGTTTACAGCGGTTACAATCAGCATTAGGAGACTGAGCTTCATCACGCCCAACAATTTTTCGGTGTTTTGCTGAATTCCAAATGGGGTAAAATTAATCTTAAAGATAACCAAAGAACCAGGACCCCGGTAACAACGTTACTGCAAACAGCAGTAACGGCAGAAAATGTATGGACTACTGAAATGTTGGTGCAAAAAGACTAACGAATCTCATATGCGGACATCAAAAAGGTTGTAGGCATTAGTTCGGGTAGCATTCATACCATCCGACATTAACATCTTGGAGTGAAGAAGCTTTGTTGTCGATGGATCATTCGTTTGCTCTCCGAAAGCGAAAAACAGACTCTTGTGGATTGGTGTCATAAAATGCGTCTACGTTTTGAAAACGGGGCATCTAGGCGTGTTTCACAAATCGTTACTGGTGACGAGACATGGATCTATCAATATGATCCGGAAAATAAAAGGCAATCATCGGTATGGGTCTGCTCAGAAGGACAGTTACCGACAAAACTGCAAAGACCTCGCAACGTCGGCAAAATATGATGGCTAGTTTTCTTTCGCGGAGCGGACATTTGTCGACGGCAATCCTGGAAAATTGTAGGTCAGTTAACTCTGAATGGTATACTACAGTTGCATTACTCAAAGCTTTTCAAGCTGTGCGGGAGGGAAGACCAAAGACCGGGCTTCGGGGAATCATGTTGCATCACGACAACGCCTCTTCACATACCCCCCTTAGAACAAAAGCATTTGTTGAGGAAACTGGTGTTGAAACTCTAAGTCACCCACCCTACAGCCCTGACTTAACTCCTTCTGATTTCTTTTTGTTCCCAAGAGTCAAAGAAAAAATAAAAGGCAAGGTTATTCTCAAGCGCCGAAGAAGCCGGGCTGCGTACGAAGAAGCGATTTCTGACCTGTCAGATCAAGACTGGCAAAAGTGTTTGCAGAGTTTGTTGGAATGGAAATTTGTATTTTTTTTTATAGGAGAGGGGGCAAACGAGCATGCGACTCACCTGATGGTAAGCGACTACTGCCGCCCATGAACAACTGCAACACCAGGGGAATTGCAGATGTGTTGCCGGCCTTTTAAAAAGGAGTAGGCTCTTTTCTTGAAGGTTCCTAAGTCGTATCGGTCCGGAAAAATCGCTGGTGGTAATCGATTCCACAAGGAAGTTGTGCGAGGAAGAAAACATCTTTTAAATCGCACAGTGGTCGACCGCCAATCATCCAGGTGGTATGGATGGTATCGCAAGTTTAGTCGCGATGTGCGATGGTAAAATTGAGCGCCTGGAATTAGTCCGAACAATTCCTCAGAGCATTCCCCGTGGTAAATGCGTTAAAATACGCAAAAAGGTGCAACATCTCTACGCAGTGCCAGTGAGTCAGTGAGAAAGAACTCGGTCGTCCACGATTCGACCAGCTCTGCGCTGGATGCGGTCAAGTGGAAGGAGCTGGCACTGGGAAGACCCTGCCCAGAAATGGGAACAGTATTCCATGTGAGGCCGAACCTGCGCCTAGCGCGTAAAGTTGCAGGCGGTGTGCCGGCATGAAATACTTTCCCGTTCTGTTGAGTATGCCAAGCTTTTTAGAAGCCAATTTGGCCTTTTCTTCCAAGTGACCACGAAACTGCACGTCACTCGAATGTCGACGCCGAGGATTCCGATACTGGCTCAGGCAACAAGGGGAGTGCCTTGAAACTGAGGAGATACGACAAAGGGGTTCCTTTTAGCGGTAAACGCGCAAACTTGTGTCTTCTGGGGATTCAACTGGACTAGATTTAGTCGCCCCCAATCCGAGACTTTGTCCAACAAAGTATATTTGTATATAGCATGATGGAGAATATTTTGAAAAGATGTAAAATAAATATTAATAGTATCTAGAATACTTTTTGTTTATATCAAATCTTAATGAGTGACCTACGTATTTCAAGAAACAACTGAAGCCACCACTGCACTCCTAGTAACTCTCAACTTGTAAACTCCATTGACATTATTAGCCACTGCAACTAATTCACCATTCTTATTGTAAATACTGCATCCATTTTCGGTAAAACTAACTTTATTTCCGTTTTTCAATAGTTGGCTGTACTCCCTTTATGGGTACTTCAAATTCAGATTCATCCGTTATTCTTGATAATATTCACATCGCCGGTACATAATACTTGTAGTTTATTATTATTTGCAAGTATTATTTAATCTTTCTTTTCATAACGGGGATCATCTACCCAATTTTCATTAGCCGTCAGTCGTGTTTACTAAAATGTCCATTTAGGAACACAGCACTAAATGCGTTTGTTTTACTCACATTTTTCTTTTCATTTGACTGAGAAAAAACATTGTTCGTACATTGATTCCGATAATGGCCGTGTTGTTTACACTTATATCATTTGACGTGTGATTTGACTGATGATGAGTCGGCATCTGTAGCACTGCCCATAGACTTATTTTTGTTCTTAGGTTGTCATTTCCGCGAACTTGCGAATGCACTCCCTTCTCGACATTAATTGACATCCGTTTACGCCATATTTTTTTTTTTTATAAGATAAGGGTGACAAACGAGCACACAGTCCACCTGATGGTAAGTGGCTGCTGCGGCCCATAGACATCTACATCTATCCTCTGTTACAAATCAAAATGTAGATGCGTTGTCACCCGTGAGGACTAAGATGGAATGCCTCATTTCCAGTAAAAAGGGCCTCCGGCCACCTGCACTCACCAAGCGAAACGCAGAGGTAAACCTCTACTTCACGCTGGTTTTCTGTGAGGTCGTGGTACTACCCCGGTTCGAGCCGGCCCATCCGTGCGACAGCAAAAGCTGCCGCGTGGCTCTACCACGTAAAGGGGAATCAATAGAATATCAAACAGCTTGGTTTTAATGGCGTCCGTTGTGACAACTATGCCTGAATGCTCGATTGCCATGATTATTGGCATGTATTTTTCAGGCAATCCGACTAATAGGAGACATCCAATCCACTCGTCACTTATGTTAAAACCGGTTCCACTTAGTTTCTGTCCGGTTTGAATCATTTCAATTACGTATGATGCCATGGAGTCGCTGTTTTCTAGGCGAATCGAGGGTAAAGCACGCAGTAAACTTATTTTTCTTGGGAATCCCGAGTCATCAAATAAAACCTTTAACTTATTACACAGTTCTTGAGACATCGATACACTTTTAATATGAACGTACAGCTTCGAGTCAGTAGTCATAATCAGTTTTGCTTTTGTTTTTTCGTCATCCTCTGCAGCAATCTCTTTTCCCGTGACTGGCTTGATACAGTGAAGCACGAGGAAATTTTCTGCAGCAAACGTCCATTCATCGTAATTTTCCCTCCCTTTCAGCTTGGGCACGTTGACAAGGTAGTTCGAAGTCATAATTCTTCGCAAACACCTGATTCCGTTAAAGTTACACACTTTTCCTAGTTAAATCTAACAATTTAACTACTGGAAATACGAAAACTTTTATTAAAAGCATATGGGACTGTGACTATAATCTAAAAAAAAGTAAGGACGCTTTGAGTGATTAACAACTACTAAAAATGTATTTATGGATAGAACACATAACAGAGTAGCACAGATAATAATCAACAGCTTATACAGTTTACGCATAGCATCTATAGATGGCAGCACATGTATTTTAAACTCTTTATTTTGATATATATTTCAACACGTGTACAATGAACCGGATTTTTAGTTTTACCCTTTTCTCATTGAATGTATAAAATATAAAAACATACGCCGACGCCTGTCATATTAATTATTCAGGGGAATGATAGGGAAGTTAAACTACTTTATACAAGAAATGCGTGAAGGATTTGATTACTCGCCAAATTTTGCAGACTGGTAGCCTGATAGGGAGACGCTACTTTCCGTCAGTGGTCTGGATATTGTAAATCCAATACACGAGATGATGATACTGCGAGATTTTTAGTTCAAGATAATACATCTTATGTGTATTCAATTAAATTTATACATAATAGCACGTATAACGGCAGGTACGCAGCCGACGTCCCCCCCGGCACCCGGCGGATGACTTGCGAGCGATAGCGCCGCGCTCGCCGGAGCCGGAGTCGGAGCCGGAGCCGAAGCTGGAGCCGAAGCTGGAGCCGAAGCCGGAGCCGAAGGCGGAGCCGCCGGTGTCGCCAGTACTGCTGCCTTCCCCCACCTGCCCGCACTCCCCGCACTCGCCGCCCTCCCCGCACTCACCACCCTCCCCGCACTCCCCGCCCTCCCCGCAGTCGCCCGCCGGCCCCTACAAGTGCGAGATGTGCTCGTTGGAGTTCCCGCGTCGCGATGCGCTGCTCCTGCACGTGCCCGTTCACATCTGACGCAGGAGCGCACGCCGCCCACGTGCCAACGGCACTCACGTACGTGTATGAACGCTTATATTGTGAAGTATTATAGTCTAAACACTAGAGTGGACTATCATTATTGATATATTAAACTGAGAAGTTTTCTCTATTTTATTTTATTGAGCAACATTATTTTATTATTCATATAGTAAACTGAGAAGTTTTCTCTATTTTATTTTATAAAGCAACATTGTTTCAAGATCAGTTGTTGGCAAAATTATGTTGTTGGATGAGGATATATTATTATGTTAAAACTGTTATAGTATTTTTTTTATGTGTGGTTCATTCATGTTACTAATTTAAAACGATAAAAAAAGTTAATAACGTTTATAATGTATTCTATACAAAACACTTAAAAATTCAAGTTATTGAGATATACTCCTTTTGCATATTCGTCCTGTAAGTGTAGCCTTTAACGCTATACAAATTTATGACCAAATACAAACTCTCATGTACCTTCTTGGCTAACTTGTTTTACAATCATTTTATTAACCTATAAAATAAAGATGAAAAGGGAAAAAAGCACTATCTCTACCTATAAGCTAACTAAAATGATTCACAAACCTATTCAACAAATATTAAACAATGAATAATTAAAAGTTGGGATGCCTTTGCCCTCATATTTTTGAAATATAAGCATTAATCTAATGATAGGTTTCTACACAATTTGTTTACAATCTTTCAATAAAGTTCTATGATAAAATTAGCGGAACTGACTTTAAAACTTCAATATCACAGGTTGGTGCAAATGGGATTATAAAATGATTCCGAAAACAGATAATACTCTATTTGTAGCCCGATCAAGAAAATAAAAACCCCACATTGAGGGTGCTTCTTCTATGTTCCAGATGGCAAAGAATAACATGATTTGTGCTACAGCTATTTTTGTGAATATATAATATAATATTCATTGACTGCCTTGTCTGCCACTGCGTTGGCCATTCATTAATTTTATTCAGTGATTTATTGGATCTGTCAAGAAATTCTCTGTAGCAGCCGGATTCAAGTAGTTTGCGGCGTTTAAGCCCGTGCTTCGGAAAGCATATAAAGTCGTAAGTCTTACGCCTGAAATCTTTTCAGTCGTGTCGGATTATCGTCCCATCAGACTATAAGATTGAGGGAATAGAGAGTGCACCTGTGATTGCGCGTGCACTATAATCCTGTTCTGCTCCGATGACTAGTTTCCGTTTAAATCGGCCACCGTAACCTAAGTTAGGTCTGGAGGACATTATTACTAATTACTACGTAAATACTAAGAACTATGTTGCCAAGGCTATAATGGCTTAATTAATGCATATGATATACAGGTTGTCCGGTAAGTAATGGATAATTCCGCAGGTACTAGTGGGGGGAACCTCGGCCACTTAGAAAAAAAATAATCTGCAGCAGTCTGGAAAAAATTACTTTTTTAAAAGTATTAAATTTGATACCTCCGTTAAGATTATAGAGTACTACGGCTACAAATTTATTAACAACCAATTGATTTTCCCTGAAAATAACCGTGAATGTTTGACCTTGTCATCGTGCATTACAAAATATTTATAGTTGTAACTAGTTATACTTAAAATTATAAAATTTGAATTTTCGATTGTACAATGACAAATTTTGAGCACCTGTGGTGTAAAAAAAAACGAATAGTGGCCAGGGTGGCCAATAGCTTAAAAATCATGCCTACTTCATGCAGATTCTAAAACGGTAATAAACTCAATTTTTTTTTGTTGTCAAAGTACTGAGTTATTGCTGTTTACATTCCGGAAGGATGATTTTTCACAAAGTTTAATATTCATTAAAGTTACTAATTGTGTTCAAATGTTAAAGAGACTTTGGAAACCTACAATAATTTACTACCTGGTGCGTGGGCACACAATCGACGGGTTTCTTATTGTGAGAGAGATAAACAGAAGTTTCTTGATTTTTGTTTCAATACTCTCGATATCAGATGTGCTTATTTCGCGTGCCGAGATGTATGGGCCGCCGTTTTCTCCTCTTTCATACATGCTTAGCGAACTGTCTTTAACACCTATGGTGAATACACGTATGTTTAACGATACCCCGTAAAGCACTTTTTGCTATCGTGCTCTGTTGTTTGTTTAGTCTCATTAGAAACCTTAACAACTGTTCATTGCTGTCAGGACTTCCCTAGCTTGCCTACAATTTCTAACTTTCCAAAGCTAAGCTTTTTGATTAGTGTAGTGCTTACATACCAGTGAACGATCGATCCCAAAGGGAGAGATCATTTCCGATACTCCCCTGGCTAGTACGTCAGCTGCGTTGCCCCTGGAATCACTGTATTCCTTCATCGATTGTTGCATTTACATATCTTATTTAGGCAATGATAGAATTTGTATATATTAGCCCCGAGTTTACTACACTGTAGAACCACAATCTTGTTACTCCAAAGGTTTACGGTTTTGAGTCTGATGGCAGCTAACGTAGCTTCTTTTTATATGAGAAGATGAATGTTGGACTAGTCTTTATGCAGCCTGTGATAGTCATACAGACCTATCTCTGGTATCGCTGAAGCTTCATTATAGCAGTGGTTTCATTTGTTTTGATTCACCATATACCGAATCGCTGTATGTGATCATGGTTCACACTATTGGTTTGGTTGATACAGTTTATTCCAGTGTAATGGGCTGCTTAACAACTGTAACTTAAACAGTGTAGAAACATATTGTTAAGACTACTTTTCTGTCTAGGAGTCTGATCTGCTCCTGTCATGCTCTGTAGAAGAGGCGTATGTTTACAAGTGGACTCAGGTCGGGTCTAACAATAATAGTATTATTTGAGTCTAGCTTTAATCATCATCATCATCATCATCATTACAGCCCTTCACAAGGCCATTGCTGAACATAGGCATCTCCCAAGGAATGCCACAAAGCACGGTCCTGAGCCACCTGCATCCATCGACTACCTGCAAGTCTTACCAGGTTGTCACTCCATCTAGTGGGGGGTCGTGCTGTTCGCCTAATGGTACGAGGCTCCCACTCGAGAACCTTTTTTCCCCATCTGTTGTCGGTACTTCGAGCTATATGGCCGGCCCATTGCCACTTCAGCTTACTAATCTGTTGGGCTATGTCGGTCACTCTGGTTCTATTGCGAATATCCTAATTTCTAAGTTTATCATGCAGAGAAACCCTGAGCATAGCGACGTGCGTTCGTTACTATGCTCTAGTAATCACCCTCTCACCCTCCCCTGGCTGCAGCCAAATAGCAGCTGCTGTGTTTCGGTCTAAGGGTAAAGTAAAGAGAGCCAGCACAATTACAGCTTGTGAAGCATTTCATCTTAATCCTTCGAGGTGCTGTAAGTTCATTTGTTGGGTTGCTTGATTATTAGCTCCTCTTACATCTTCCTACATCCTCTCCATACGCCCGATAAAAAGTCCCACTGCTTGACATAAACCTCTCCCATTGTAATAGCTTTTTAATACTTAAAATATAAATAATAAAATCAATATCCTTAATGTTTGTAAAGATAAATGGTAATAGTTTTTAATTTATTTACTATAGAAATCTACTAAGGTGCGTGTAGCATGACACATACTGAGATAACAATTTGAATTGTTGACAATCCTTCATATTTTATTAAATTCAAAAGGAACTAACCAACAATCGGCAATAATCGAGGTGCAATAATGGTATTAGATATTTGTCTTCTACATTCATTACATTAATTTCATTGCTCAATACTGCATAATTTTTACAACATTGTGTTTGCACTTTGTCATTCAGACATCGCAGAAGTGTATGGTTTGCTTTTGTGATATTGTAACTTAATGAAAATTATATTGTCAATTATTATAATAATATGTGTTTAGTGTAAACGTATTTGTCTTTGAAAGTGAAAAAAATAGTTTAAAATTCATTTATATGCTGGCATGTATATAAGGCATGTGCAAATGATTAGGTCAATAAACTTAATATTGTGTAGCAAATACAGAAATACAATAAAAATGTTTATGAATATTACGAGGGTTGTACCAAAAGTAAGGTTCCCGTATTTTTTAGAAGTAGAAAACATTGTTTAATGTTATTAATTTATACATCGTTGAATAGTTTACACTGTTGTCTATTTTTCAACATAGTCTCCATTTTTTTCGACACACTAGAAGACGGTGCTCCAGCTTTTGTATTCCTAAGTCAAAGAATTCCCCCGCCAATTCGTTGAGGAAGCGTGTGACCTCTGCTCGGAATTCATCGTCGCTCTGGAAGAGGTGATAATCGCTGGGGGCTAAGTCCGGGCTGTACGAGGGATGGGGCATAACAGTCAACCCAAATTTCTTTAATAGTTCCTGTGTTTGACGAGCGACGAGGGGTCGAGCATTGTCGTGAAGAATCACTACTCCCTCCGTCAGTCGTCGTCTCCGGCGATTCTGGATTGCTCGCCGGAGTTTGGTCAATGTTTCACAATATCTGTCTCTGAGTTTATTGTCGTCCCAGGTTGCACGAAATCGATGAGGAGTTCCCCCTTCCGATCCCAAAACACAGTCGCCTTAACCTTTCCTGCCGACTGCGTTTGTTTGAATTTCTTTGGTGGCGGTGAACAAGAGTGACGCCACTGACGAGATTGTTGTTTTGTTTCGGGGGTGTAATTAAATAACCACGTTTCATCTCCCGTGACGATAGACAACTTCTCCTTGTTGCCTCCCCCCTCACATTGTTGAAGAAACTTGAGAACACAGTCAAGGCGTTGCTCCTTGTGTTCGTCAGTCAGCATCCGGGGGACCCAGCGAGCACACACCCTGCGATAACTCAACGTTTTTATTAAAGTTATTTCAAGTGTGCCGTGGGATGCTTCAGGAATGCGTTCAAGTTCACGGACAGTGACCCTCGGATCTTTGAGCAGTTCACTGTTGATCTCCTGGACAATCGCATCTGAAACCGGTGGTCTTCCAATCTGTTCTTCATCGTGAACTTCCATGCGACACTCAGCAAAAGCCCTGCACCATTTTCGGACGTGCTGAACAGACATGCACTCTTCACTATAAACCTCAGTCAGTTGCTGATGAATCTCCACGGGCGTTAACTTCCTCGCTAGGAGAAACCGGATTACTGCTCGAACCTTGCACTTGGCGGGAGCAGCGATCAACACTTCCATCTCTGACGGTTGCCAAGCGAACACTGAGCGACGTAGCGAATCGCGGACGGGCGGGCTCGAAAGTGGGGGAACCACTGCACACGGCACTGTTGTCGGATTTAGCCTAGCACCTTCCCCCGAGGCTGTAGCTCATTGAGAACCTTACTTTTGGTACATCGTATATTTTAAGCCATTATACTGCTTCCACTATGTTATTGTATTCTAGACAGCTCACACAGTCAATAGTCGACTTAACTTTGTCCTAGCGTCTGCGAATATAACTTCAAACAAAAAAAATAGACGACAACCCGTCATGTTCATTGACAAGGTCACATCAGCCTGAAAGCAATTTTAGTGATGTGGTAAGGCGATAAATAAAAATCGATGATTTTTTGTGCAATTGTTAATTATTACATATATACATATGCTCACGATTGTAATTCTTTCGGAGTAAACGAAAAAGCTTTCAATATTGTTTATTATTATTTAATAAAATTTAGGGCCATATTACAATTCTATGTAGAAAGTTTAAAATAAATTTGGTAGGCATTATTTTCAAAATCAAAAATTATACAACCATTATTTTAATATTTCAAAATTTTCTATCGTTGTAGAGTTTGGTTGCAATTATTAGATTCGATATTAACATTTTCTGTGGTTGTAGATTGGTTGCAGTCATTAGATTCGACGTCAACATTTTCTATCGTTGTAGATTGGTTTTCAACTAAGAAATCTGCGTGTAAAGTTATAGTATTATTTCAACCATTAGATTCGACGGCAGTTGTTTCACATTGTAAAATCAAAATTTTTGAATTATCATTATCGACTGCATAAAATATTTTGGTCTGTTGTGAGATCTTGGCGTACTGTTTCCAGTATTGTGTATTGTATATTTTCTTCTTGGGGTGCAGTTTGGACGCACCTTTCTGCTACCTGTAGTACCGTTGTTGCTTGTTGCATCGTTGCGTCGCTTAGTGTTATAAGGTCTGTCGATTCACACACATTATAACATTCTATAGATCGAGTGACAAGATTCTCTTTAAATCTGCGCTTCTGGTGACGCAACTTTAGTAGGTGTGCCAAATACTAAAGTTGGAGAAGCTACAAAATCAACATTATCGAATATATCTGACTCGTAAGAAATAGTAGAAGGGGATTGTAATAAATGTGATTGTAAATCGAAATTGGGAGAAAGACATTTTAATGTTGGACTGTAAGTTCCAGGGAGCTTTTCGTCTTTCACACTCTTCGGAATGGTGACTTCTGCTGTTTTTTCAAAATCACTGTTACAGGTAAGATTTATGGCATCTAAAACAAAATACAAGGGTACTTTTCTATTAAACTATCGAATCTGTCGTAAAACTACGTACCTAAGTTAGTGACAAAATTTTTAATATTCATTTTATAAGTCTAAAAACTATAATTTTGTGGTATTTATGTGCGTTTTTCCACCAAAATTATATTATTATGGAGGAATAAAAAATCTCACACAAATACATTTATAAGTAGGTACCCAAAAATATATTACTACCTACCTAAGTCTAGCTCACAAGAGTTGCGTTCTAATCGCTCGCAATGCTCGCTACATCGGCTGTTTCCCACGTAACGTCGAACGGGCGGGACACAACTTTTGTAAGCTAAACTCCAATTATTTTACAATAAAAAACAACTTGTAAAAATGGAACAGCGTAATTTTGCATGGTATTTCTATTTCATTATAAATCAACAAGAGATCTGCCGCAGTTTTCCTAACGATTCTATCACATCATTTACTTTTTAGCCTACCCTCATCATCGAATATAGGTTTTTTTTTTTCAAGTTAAGCAGATAAGTAAGTAGGTAGGTAATAATAAATTTATTTGTGGTTTAAAAGAGGTAAATATAATTATTCAACTAATAAAAACTCGACGATAGATAAAACCTAATAAACTTTTGTTTAATCATAATCACTTACTATCAACCATGGATAACATTCTTCCTGCTCTAGATTTTCCTGGTCTTGCTATTTTTAAAAACACAATAAATGGGAAGTATAATCGTAATAATATTCAAAACCACACAATCGCGCTAAAAGAACATTATTAGCGTAAGACGTCACACGCTGCACTGACACCGCCCGCCGAATAAGTTATTATTTGTATCAATTGTTTACCTAAATATGGTGCTAGGAAGCAAGCGGTAATCATTTATTTAATTATGTAGGAGTGAAAGGGATGGCGTACAGCGTAGCATGGCATTACGTCACCGGGGTTACAATAAATTTACGGGAAGAAAGGCGTGTGATAGTTTGTACAGAATAAAATCTCTTGTGATTACTTCGTATTAAGTGTCTGCATTAAGTAAGTTCTGCATTTATTGATATAATAAGTTTATTTTGAAAAACGCGGTAAAATGTATTACTGTTCCTCTTTGTTTTGAAATTTGGTATAAAGATGTTCACAGGTTTTTTGTGTTATGTTTCTTAGAGTAATGCAATAATACATAACTTTGTCGTTAGAGAATTTTCCATACAATAAAGCTGTTATTGTCATTAATTTTAAAGAAATATTCATAAAAGGAAAACTTAAAAAATAAGTGGTAGATTGATAGTCAGAGAAGCCAAAAATCAAATAACATTAAAAAGGGCGTAACAGGCGCTTACCGCTATACTGCCCGGGGTCAGCGATATGTGCGTTATTCATAATAATCACTGATGGTTCTTCCAGCTTACTCAATAAATCTTCAAACCACCTTTCAAACACTTCTGAATTCATCTCCTCATAATAATCTTTGGTTTTTTTTTTCGATTTAAAAGACAACAACGCTTCTTCGATAAATCCTTTCATAGTTTCCGCGCAACAAATAATCAGTCTTTCTCCTTTTCCTAAAGGCACTTTCGCGGTCGATGCTGCTATGTCTTCCGTCCAGCCCCTTGATACATTGTGGTTGGCATTAAGCCACGTTTCATCTATAAATACTACGTTTCCCCAGTCCTCAATTCGCTTAGCTTCCCTCAAAAATTTCTTTCCGGACCGCTTTTTCCATAGACTTCTTTAGTTATATTTGTCACATAACCAACGCTGATACCTAGTGCTTTCTCGACACGCTCACGCACACTTTCCAATGGTAAAAGGGGTCCACCATTTTGATATTCCCTTTCAAAATAATCACGTAGGCGTATCACCAACTTCTTTGATTGTCCTTTCAACGCCATTCCCTTCCGCATGTTTAGTTCAGTTCTATGCTATCAATTTTTAAGACTGAAAGGTCGGAAGAATACTGTGTACTCTATTCAACGTATTAAAAATGGAAAAACATTCAGCAAACAGAAAAGTAGTGATTAACACAGGCTTCTCGTTGCGAGTGTTTACTAATCAACATGATGCGGTGGCATCACTACAGTATGGCCAGGATATGGATTAGCTACCATAAACAAGATGACTGGGTTTTTATTCTAATACATCTATACATATAATAAATAACTAGAAAAATTGTGTTCACGATTCACGCAAAAAGTACTGGACAGGTTTCCATGTTATGTTGTATTTAGACAGTAAATGACCGTGTATAACATATAGGCAAATTTTATCCGCTTACGGAAGAGTATGGTAGATAGAGAGAATAATATAATGGAGTTATGATTTTCCTCTTTTTTTAGTTTGTTGTCATTATGGCAGCTGATGTTTCTATTAGTCCTAAAGGGGATTTAGCTATACGTATAAAAAATCAACAGAAAAGTGTTTGTATGAAAATAAACTCCTAGCGCCACTAACCACAAAGGACAAAATAACGTCTGCCGGGCCAGCTAGTTAAAACTAATTCAATGTTAATAAAAAACGGCGAGTAACGTAATAAATATCATATTAATTACGAAATACTTTATAATGTACTTTTGTTAACTATTTAGTTAAAATAAACAAAAAAAAGTCGGCAATATTTTATTTTTAATCGATATTTTAATATTTTCTTGAAATCACTAGTTCCATCTGTCTAGAATACAATAACATAGTGGAAAGAGTATAATTATAAAAAAATATTTCAGCTGCAATGTATTAAAGCCAAGTTATATTTCTAACAAAATTTATTTGCAATTAATTTTGAGTAAAGATTGATCTTAAGTTGTATATAATAATTATTAGTTAAATTAACATCGCCAGGTCGTTTTCCATTTGTATTAATATTGATGGTTATCGAATTTAATTTATTCAACGGAGTGTTTTATTTACCCTGAAAGGGTATATTTCAAACACATTTAATACCAGCGTAAAATAGTAGCTTAACGCTGCTGTGTTTCGTATTGTGAGTGTAGAGAACCGGAGACCCTTTTTACTGGACAAGACGCATTCCATCTTAGTCCTACGGGTGACAACGCATCTACATTTTGAGTCTCTATTGAGGATAGACGTAGATGTCTATGGGTAACCACTTACCATCAGGTGGACTGTGTGCTCGTTTGTCAACCTATCCTATAAAAAAAGAGGTTTCAGTAAGCAAAAAAAAATATAATAGCATGTAGTTGTTGTTTAAAATTGTCTACCTTGGTAATCTTATCATCTTAAGTCATAAGTATTGTAAAACCTATTACCTATTTAAAACATCCAAATTTTTATCAATTATTGTCTGTCATGATTGTTAAATATTATATAGAAATATTATCGAGCAAATGCGGCCCTGACATACATTTTATACACACACCCCACGTAGGGGTGTGTACAAATACCGAATAGGATGAATGAGCAATAGACGTATTCTTCAATATGTACAGGAACGATTACGAAACGAAACACCAAATCAATATTTTCAGACGAAAATACTATTATCCCATAGTTGTGGTTTTTATTGAAATGCCAGTTTTCTGGAGCATTCTCGCCTAAACGTGATGTAACATGCGAATGCTTATGTATTAATATTGTGTATATGGCCAGCTTTCTAGCTAGTCCTCAAGAACTTTTGATGAACGAATCTATTGTAATTTATGGGGCTTAAAAATGATGCAATAAATGTAATTACTTTTATGTGCATAACAGAGTATATAAATTTAATTAAAAATTACTCAAATAATCAACATTATGTTTGTAAGATATTGTTATAATAATAATGCTGAGAATTAAAAAAATATTTTACAAATAAATACAACGGATCAGTAAGATGAAGTGGGAAGAAAGGCAGACCCGAGTGGCAGCCTCGTACTGGTAAGCAAAATGTAGAGCGGTTCCCCACTAGATGGGGTAACGACCGTAAGAGATACAGGTGGCTCGGGATCGTGCCTTTGCCTAATTATTTTAAGGTTAATTCTTCCTAATTCTTTAGGGAAGGCCTATGTGCAGACTTGTTATGAACCAAATGAATATATTTACATAATCTGTGGTACCTCTTAGTTCACTTTTCCAGTATATGAATCATAATCACAAGACGTGTTAAATTATGCCAGAAGTGGATGCGATTGAAGAACCGTTGTGATTTGCGGTCATACTGATTCATTTCAAAGATGGATTTTAAAATTTTATCCGAATATTCTGGCAATTTGGTGTTCCGAATTGCTGGCCGGCTCTGGGTTTCAATGATAAATTATTCGGTATCCATCATAAACGTACCACGTGCACACAATCTCACTTAATGGCGGGCAGCCCGCAAACAGAACCGCACGGTACGAACAGCAACCGTCCGGCTATCCGTCATTATGGCCGCAGCCCTCCGAGCGACTGGAGTGGTTTGTGGGTAGCCGCATCGCAGTGCGCATAGAAATAGATGTTACGTATATATTTTTGCTTTACGCACTATGAAATTACCCGCAATGCGGTAATTGCATAGTGCGTAAAACAATGGCCCGTTATAGTTTTAATATTAATAATAGCACATGCCATAAATTAACATGAATTACGTTTCAGATATTTATATTTTGCTTGACTACTTCACGATACCGTGTTTATGATAAGATCGGACTGAAATAATTAAAGTACGTCCATTGTACATGAGTATCCTAAGATGTTGGTTGTATCTTTTATAAAAATGGTTTAAGATATAACTTGTATTTTACCAATTGACTGAGTTAACTGTGTAACACTAATACTAAACTAGTGTAACCTAATGCTATTGTAAATTTGTACATATATAAATAATTTAATTCAATGTTTATGGTACATAGATGTTAATATTGTTTATTCAAATAATGTTTTGTATGTTTTGAAGTGTTTGTTTTAACGAAACAGCTGTTTATTCACTTGCAAATACATATTTAATTCTCTAAAGATGTTTAAAGACACGAAATTTCAACGACTGAATGGATTTTGTTAATTACATATAGTTCAATAATCATAACTAATATTTTAGACCTGAGTGCCATACACAGTAGGCAACGGTTTATTATGATAATCATGGCTATTTTCGGTTGATGTGAAACTAGAGAACTTGTGCAGTGCAATACATTCCCTAAATCTTATTTGTTAAAGGTAGAAAATTGTTTCTCTTAAATTCCGAAATCAAAATTTTATCAATTTTAGTCACTCCTCAACTATAACATTTTTAGTTTCTGATAAATTTTATATTTATTCTTTGTCAGTATTTATTTATTTTGTCATAAATTTTGAACTTATGCTTAATTTCTTAGCTTAAACGTACCTTTCTTTACCTTTTGTACATCACCATCGTTTCTTCAATTATGTTGTAATTTAGCTGTAACCAAATGTAAATTTCATATATCAAAACATAGTAATAGTAAAAAATATTACCTTTATTTTATTTTATTGTACCCCTACCCTGCGAACTTTTGAAAATGACGCTCAGTTGAATCAACAATGACCTATATTGATTGATTAAACTAAGCGTGGTATTTGTGAGTTACAAAATGTATCACCTTCAGATAATAAATGATCGTCGAGTAAATTTTAGATATACATGATGGCGCTGGGTTCCATACACTAAATGATAAGCCTAACTTTATTTAGCGTTCTATCCGTAAAATAGAAAAAAATCTAATTAAGTTACAGACACGAATTTTAATTTTGTTGTAGTAATTTTTGTACATAGTGAAAGTAAATAATTTTTCAATATGCGAAGGATCAATAAAAAGTTCATACAAGAAAGAAGGCACCATTGTCGCTGAGACGCCTCCACATGCTTGACAAACAACGGCAAACAGCGAACCCCAAACAACAAACATGAACGTGTGGATGATTGTTGGACTGATTGTGTTTGTGTATGTTAGGGATCGGCGTCGTTTGTCGGTTTTAGTGCACAAATCAAAGGGTGTTCGACAAACGTGTAACGCTTGTTAGCCAACACCTTGGCATGACTAAAGTCTGTGCAAGTTGGGTTCCGAGAATGCTTTCTGCGCATCAAAAACACAAGCGCGTCGAAAGCTAATATTCTTAGAAGCAATTCAAAATAAACAATGTCTTTGGAATCCAAAAGATGTTAACCATAAAAACAGAAAGAAGGTGAACGACGCGTGGACGCCTTTGTGTTATTATGAACAAAAGTATATGGGAACTAAAAAATAAAAAACGAATACTTATTATGGCTACATTCCGAAGACACCTAAACAAAATAATTATAACTTTTAAAAAAAAGTATAAACCGACTTCAAATTACTAAAAAAGAAGTTATTTATTTGCTACCCCTAATGGTAAAAAAACACCCCTAAGGATGGAGCTTTTTCTCCAAAAAATATATGAAATCAGCTTTAAAGCATAACTTATTTAATAAAAAAAGAATGATCAAAATTGGTTTACGATGTGCGAAGATATCGCGTAACATACATACAAAATAGAAACACACTCGAATTCAGAACCTCCTCATTTTGGATTTCGGTTAAAAAAGGACTCCTTTCACTCTGGTGCAAGTTAGTTTTAACTTTTGCTGCTACTGATTGTATGATGCATGAATGATATATATATATATATAAACCTATCTGGTTTGCATATGAGCTTATGGAGTAATTTTTAGTTCCGGTCTATACCAGCACACAAAATAATTAGAGGGTAAGAAAAAGTATTTTCTTTTACATCACGGTTTTATTTATTCTTAACACAATTCTTAGTATATAAAAATATAACTGATATACATTAATCTAACTTTCGTTACTACCTAATATGAACTAATATTTTCTATGTACTACAACGTATTCCACAGATTAATAAGTACCTATTGGGTATATATGCCAATTATTAACATACTATCGTGACCTACAAAAATATAAAGTAAATTCTTCTTCTAATCTGTTTGGCATACATGGGTGATCTCTACAGGTTATGTTTAACATATTCTCAAAATGCAATATATTCAGGTTCGTGTCTTCGCCAAGATCCAAGTGTTACTAGATTGCCATTACTATCAAGTACATCAAACGTTCCTAGGGGAGTATATCTTTCTGGAGTTTTTTTTCTTGAGGCAATTATGTAATAGTATATAGGTCATTGTAATTTCTGATACAGTACTAGGGTTTAAATCAATTGGGCGCTGGAAAATTCTAAACACTGATGTTAAAATTCTATATTTATCCAAGCATCTGCTGTTGATGACATCTGAAACTAAAATGTACAATGTCAGCTATAAAGAAAACAAAATAAAACAGTAAGTTTTACCTATTTAATTTTTACAGGTATAATCACAAGAAATACCGAATGAAACTGCAGAGATAGAAATAGAAGATGAAGAAGATAACGCTTTAGCGCAGCCATTAACTTCTTCCCATACGCCAAAACCTGTGACTTCCCGTCGTCGTCCTGCCACCGATTTAGCGGAGCGACAGATACCGTCAGCCTTTGGGCAGTTAACGAGTATTTTAACTAAAAGACAGAACCAACTGGGATACAGTCCAAATCCTATCGAGAGTGGGAGGAACTCAAGGGGAGTTTAGACAAGGAAAAGCCGATAACTCTCGATATATTTCTCGAATCTGTGCGGAATCGTACAGACTTAATCGAGACGTTCGAACTCTCACGTAGCGGTGGATAATCGTATACAAATTATAATACCAGGTCTAAATTAAAAACTATGGTTACCGTCGCTTACCCCGATGATAATAATAATAATTGTTTTATTGTTTCTCTCAATACATTTTGATGCATTACATAAATTGAGGTAGGTAGCTCCAGTAAGTTATAAAATACTTGTGTTGGAACTATCTCGTTGCTTCCCTTAAAGCTACCTTACAGTATTGAGACCAATCCATACAAAATAAAAGAAAAATAAAATTCAGAAGTGAAAAAGAGATAGTGGACAGCTAAAGTGTGTGTGTGTGTATATATATATATGCGCACGCGTTTTACTTAGTTGGTACTGATTAAGATAAGCTCAGTTTCCTCATATGTAAGAGCTTTTAGCCACTCCGTACAAGTAAACAAGGCTTGTTTACTTGTACGAAGCAACATAGGGTATATATTTAGTTTAAAATTCAATTTATTATATATATATATATATATATATATATATATATATATATATAATGTTGATTGTGTGGTATACTGACGTCTGGCAAAAACAGTATGGACCCTAGAGGAGTATGCCACAATATCTTTGCGTCTTCTATCCAGGTTAGCTGGATTATTTGAGAGTGTCTTATGCAAGTGCAAGGTTGTTTTTAAGAGGTATACTTTTATAGACGTATTCTGACCGTAAGTAAATCACTTAACCTGTAAAGTTCTACTGTAGAGTACCTGTGGGACTTAAAATACATTACTTTTAGGAGCGACCTCTGGGCTCTTTCTAAATCTAAAAATTTAGTTTTTGTGGCACTTCCCCATACCGGTATACAATACGTTATGACAGATTGTGCCAGAACAATGTATACCTTTCTTAATAGCCGATCTGGCATAACGTGACGCAGATTTTTGAAAATCCAAATGAGTTTCCTGACTCTAGTCAAAATTATTTCAATGTGAGAGTGCCACGACAATCTGTGGTCCACTGTTACTTCAAGGTATGTTGTGGATTTGACTAGTTTTATGCTCTGACAGTCACAGTTACCAAAAAACGTTTCGCCACACCTATGAATCCTGATCCCAAAGTCGACCCCCGGTTGTGATCTCTCTGGTGGGGTAAAACAGATAAAGTTCGTTTTATCTGTATTGAGGGTTAGAGAGTTTGCGTTAAGCCAGCCAGCTATTTCAGCCAAACCACGTTAAGCGGCAGCTTGCGCGGCAGCCAGGAGACCCCAGTATAGACTGCTGCGGTGTCATCCGCATAAGAGAAAATCCGCCCGCCACTGCTCCGAATATTACAAAGAACATTTATGTATATCAGGAATAGTGTCGGGCCGAGCACGCTACCTTATGGGACTCCGAAAACTAGGGTTTTTTCCTCGTTAAACAAGTCATTAATTTTTACCTGCTGTGTCCGGCTCCGTAAGTAACTTTCAAAAAGAGAAAGAGAGCTGTACCTCTTACACCGATAGCTTCCTACCTCTGCAGAAGGATGGGGACGGAAACGGTATCAAATGCCTTTTTTAAGTCTAAAAATACTGTCAAGCACTTGACTCCTTTATCAACGTTGGTTACAATCTCAGTTGTCAGTGCTATAACAGCATCTTGTGTGGAAAGTCCCTTCCTAAATCCGAATTGAGAGTTAGACAAAATTTTGTATTTATGTAAATATTTAATGAGTCTATTGTTTAATAATTTTTCTAAAATTTTTGAAATACTGGATAGGACAGATATAGGACGATAGTTATTAACCTCGTTTACGTCTCCACCCTTATGCACAGGGGTTACCACGGATCGCTTCAACGCAGTAGGAAATTTTCCTGTTTTGAAGCATAAATTACCAAGCTGGCTTATATACGGAACAATAAAATCCCTTGAAATTTTTAAAAACTTTGTGGGTACACCGTCCCAACCAGGTGAACTCTCCGAGTTAAGACTCATCAGAATGCTGTCCACCTCCAGTGGGTCAGTATCAAGTAGTACAAACGAAGAAACCAGACAGTGTGTAGACACAATTTTATTTGGTGGACCAAAATTATTAATTATGTCTTCAGCTAATGTTATACCTATTTTAACAAAAAACTGGTTTACACGATTCACTGAGTTAAGTGGATGTGGGGTGATGTTTAAAAGACATGCATTTGGGGATTTAGGGGTTTTAAATTGGGTAATTTCATTTATTTTATGCCAAAGCTTCCTTGGTTGATAGCTCAAGTACTTCAACCTCACTTTCCAAACATTGTCCTAAATGTGATAGTGAACACAATTTAAGCAATTGCCCTCAATTCTTAGCGTTAAGTAATAATGTACGGTTATAATTGTTACCTAATTATAAAATTTGCTTTAACCGCCTTCTAAAAGGTCATTTTGCAAACCATTGCAAAAAAACCGGTCAAGTACGAGTCGGACTCGCGCACTGAGGGTTCCGAACAGATATTTTTATTATATGATGTAACGAAAAATTTATGCTTTTCGCAATTATTCCTTTATCTGTGCTATAATACGTTGCTTCGTACCAAATTTTAAGATTCTGAGTTCACGGGAAGTACCCTGTAGGTTTTCGATTCCCTTGCGAATGTCGAAAATTTGCGGCATAAACGGCTGTATCTTTTGATTGCGTTGGCTTAGAAGTTTGATTTTTTCACAGCTCCAAGGGACAGTAGACAGGAGTATTTGATATGATTTCAGCTTGATACCTCAACGCGTTCCTGAGAAAAAGGGTCTTGACAGACTGACAGACAGACAGACAGACGGACAACAAAGTGATCCTATAAGGGTTCCGTTTTTTCCTTTTGAGGTACGGAACTCTAAAAAGGGAGTGTAAAATATGTCGACGAAAGCATCACCCTAATTTATTCGGAAGGTACTATTAATACTTAAGCATCGTAGTAGCAATAAGGTTCGAACTGAATCTCACAGGACACCATTGGAGACTATACCAGCACCACCTGGTGCTATCATTACTCTGTCACCGAGTGTCAAAACGTCAACGTTAGGTTGGCGTTAGGCGAAGTTGAAAAGAATAAGTTGTATTGTTGTCAACTGTATGATAAAAACAATCGTAAGCACATAGCTCGCGCCATGCACGATAGTGTAAGTACTTCATGTCTTATGACAGAAAGTTTAAGTCCGAAGTTAGGTCTGCCTATTAACTGTGTTGACAAATTTTTAGTTGGCATTAATAACACACATTCGCGTATCACAATAATTAAAAATTAAAAATTTTGTACAGTAGACTTCAATATAAGTTATTAAGAATAACTCAAAAACTATTGGCCTGACCTTGATCAAATTCATATGGGACCACACGAGAAGTACCAGCTTTCAAAATGAGTCGCCATTAAGTCATTGGATGAAGGTTTTACAACAAACCTCCAATGTTTATTTTGTCGACAATAACTGATAACGTAAACAAGAGGACATCTGTTCGACGCATCGGCAGTCTTGAAGGTACGGACCTGTCCATACTATGGCTGCGCGTAGACAGCGACGACCATCCCCGCGTTTACAGGTGCCTCTAAAGATCCCATAGCGGTAATGCCGACACAGACCGACTCATCGATCACGTCCAAATGGCTGCAGACTCAGTGCTAAATCAGCTCCCATCCGCAGAGATCGTTATCCTCGGTGACTTTAATGCCCACCACGCTAAATGGCTTGGTTCCCGTTTAACCGATCATGCGGGTAGATCTGTTTATAAATTTGCCTTGGCATATCGTCTGACACAACTGGTTACTTCGCCTACGCGGCTCCCAGATGTGGAGGATCATGCACCTTCCCTGTTGGACCTTCTGCTGACCTCTCATCCGGACGGATATCAGGTGTTCGTCGATGCCCCTCTTGGCTCCTCGGACCATTGGCTAATCCGGAGTGTGGTGCCACTCACGCTCCCATCGCGGTTGCGTTCTGCAGGTTGCCGCGGTGTTTGGCACTATAGGTCGGCAGATTTATTTCTCGCCGGACGACCCCAACGTGGTTGCTGATTCTGTCGATGATGTGGTGCTTCAGAGAATGGAACTTTTTATTCCATCATCTGTGATACCTATCGGAGGCAGAACTCAGCCATGGGTTGGTCGCTCCTGCAAAATTGCTTCACGCCATAAGCAGGAGCGCTACTGGGCCTGGGCTGACGCATCGACGTCTCGGGATGCAAATACCAGCGCTCTCAAAAAGAAGTATAATTCCGCTTCCAGGTCCTTCAAGTGTCATTGCCTAGGCAAAGTCGGAGCAAATCAGCGGAATTGCCGAGAAACTTGTTCAAGTTCCTTCGGGAACTCGTGCGTTATGGTGCAAGGCTGTCCAAGCGATCTTCTGTCAGCCAACTCAACTATCTCTGCACAAGGAGAATGACTCACTCGCCCATTCCGCAAAGGAGAAAGCCGATCTGCTAAGCACTCTTGCGTCCAACTCGACTTTTGATAATGGGGGGAATACATCGCTGACCATCCCATGGTGTGATTGGTCCATGCAGGATGTACTGTTTACACAGCGATCGGTGAGCAAAGCACACCTCTCCCTTGACGTCAACAAATCGAGTGGGCCAGATGGCGTCCCTCCTATTGTGCTGAAGACGTGTGCTTCGGAGTTGGCACCGGTTTTAACGCGTCTTTTCCGGTACTCCTACTCCCTAGGCCTACATCTACTCGGGAGTTCCATGAGTTCGGGACTACTCCGGAACTCATAGAAGACATCTTTGATGCTCCAGATCCCTAAAAAAGGCGACCGCTCAGATCAATTCAACTACAGATCTATCGCCATCACCTCCTTGTTCTCCAAAATAATGGAAACCATCATAAACCGCCAGCTCCTGATTTTTGGCCTCTAAAAAGCTTGGTGTGCTCTGCAGAGCGGGACAGTAATTCATGCCGGCACACATGAAATGCAAGGCGCAAGTTTGGCCCCACATGGAATACTGTTCCTATCTCTGGGTAGGGGCTCCCCAGTGCCAGCTTCTTCCACTTAATCGCATCCAGCGCAGAGCAGCTCAAATCGTCGACGACCGAATTCCTTCCGATCGGCTTGACTCAGTGGCATTGCGAAGAGTGGTTGCATCTCTGCGTATTTTATCGCATTTACCACAGGGAGTACTCTGAGAAATTGTTCGGACTAATTCCAGCGGCTCAATTTCGCCATGGCAAATCGCGACAAAATCGCGATACCATCCACACCATCTGGATAATTGGCGGTCCAACACTGTGCGATTAGAAGTTTTCTTCCTCGCACAACTTCCTTGTGGAATCGACTACCACCAGAGATTTTTCCGGACTGATATGACTTAGGGACCTTCAAGAAAAGAGCCTACTCCATTTTAAAAGGCCGGCAAGGTATCTGCAATTCCCTTGATGTTGCACTTCGATCAACAATACCAACTAGATAACGGGTCACGTATAAAATCATCACATTTGTTTACTAAAGAACGGAGACAAAAAATTAAGACAGTTTTATGTTCAACCCAATTACAGCACCGGCACACGCACACGCACCGGCAACGGCACACGCACCCGCACCGGCACCGGCATCGGCACCGGCACACGCACACGCACCCGCACCGGCACCGGCACACGCACCCGCACCGGCACCGGCACACGCACACGCACCCGCACTGGCACCGGCACCGGCACACGCACATACACCCGCACCGGCACACGCACATACACCCGCACCGGCACACGCACCCGCACTGGCACTGGCACCGGCACCGGCACACGTACATACACCCGCACCGGCACAGGCACATACACCCGCACCGGCACACGCACACGCACCGGCACCGGCACACGCACACGCACACGCACACACACCGGCACACGCACCCGAACCGGCGCCGGCACCGGTACACGCACACGCATCGGCACACGCACACGCACCCGCACCGGCACCGGCAAACGCACCCGAACCGGCACCGGCACACGCATACGCACCCACAAACGCACACGCACACGCACCCGAACCGGCACACGCACCCGCACCGGTACCGGCACACGCACACACACACAACCACATTTTTAGGGATACTTTAAAATCGGTAATTTTGTTTCAAATATGATAATAATAGTTAGTTTATAGCTTAAAATATAACTTATCCTACATGTACTTACCGAAAGTAAGACACTCCGGCTGTTAAATTGATTTTTCGGGCATTATTCTTGCAACTTTTAAATATACATTGCGGCATTGTGAAACGTGTTTACATTGGCTGTGTTTCAAGTCAACTAAACGAAATAAAGAGCTCGCGTCTCCAGTGCGCTGTTATTTACTTGGACGTATTTTTTGCGCCGACCCGATATCTAGTTGGTATTGTTGATCGAAGATGTTGCAGTTGTTTGTGGGTAGGGGTAGTCACTTACCATCAGGTGAGCCGCATGCTCGTTCGCCTACTCTGCTATTAAAAAAATTCTAAGAGGATAGCGTAGACAATCAACTCACAAAATTTTGGCGTTTTGAAGAGGTGGATTCAAGATCGTCCCGTTATCTTCCTGAACACAAACTATGTGAGGAGCATTTTGTCAAGGACTCAAACCGTCTTACTGGCGGCCGCTTTTGTGTTCGTATTCCCCTCAAGCAAAATCCTGATGTATTAGGTGAATCGTTTAACAGAGTAAAGAGAAATATAAGCCGAAACTAAATAAAATGTACTACGATTTTATGTTCCAATATCAGTCTTTAGGACATGTCTGAATGCCAAGACATGGAATTTGTAAACAAGCCCTACTTTGTCCCCCACCATGGCATTTTGCACGAGAGTAGCATGACAAGTGATAAAATTCAAATTTTGTACAACCCACTTCATTATAAATGCTTAAGATAACTCAAAACTACTGGTCAGACCTCAGTCAAATTTATATGAGACCACATGTGAAGCACCAACTTTCAAATAAAAAAAAGAATTATCAAAATATGTTCACCCAGAAAAAGTTATGTGTTAAAAAAAGAAAAAGAAATATAGTCGAATTATTGAATACCTCCTCCTATTTGAAGTCGTGTTTAATGCTAGTGAGTCAACTTCATCAGGTGTTTCATTGAACAGTATCCAGATGACAGGCCCTACTGTTCAAGACGACCTTCTGATTGTACTCCTCCGATTTCGGCAAAACAAATTTATCTTAGCTGCTGATGTGGAGAAATTGTATAGATAGATCGAACCCATGGACAGGCACTTTCAACTCATACTCTGGCGTCACGACTCATCCGAAACTATGAAAATGTATCAGTTAAATATATACGGAACGACTAGTGGGCCTTTTCTTGCTACTCGATGGTTAAAGCAAACAGGACAAAATTATATAGAGATTTTCCTGCATGATTTTTACGTCGACAACTTATGAGGAGGGAATGAACTCTTAACAAGTCAAGAACAATAAAAAAAGTAACATTCAACTTGCTTCTATATATTAATATCTTGCTTCTATATATAATAATATAATTCTATATAAAGATCGGAAGTAGTCAGCCGAGTAAGCTTTTAGATCTTATCTGGCGTTCAGATTCTGACGAACTCTGTTTTCCGATAGGTTCTCTAGCTGGTAATAGCAATACAAAGTGCGATATACTATCTGCGATTGCATAAATATTTGACCACTAGGGCTGGCTAACTCCATACGAAGAATCAAAATACTACTACAAAAATTATAATTGAAAAGGCTAACATGGGATGAGCAATTGTTATAAATTTTCATTTCCATGATTTTTGATCTTTGCTCAATAACAGTACTCCTCGTTTTGTCATTTGTGGCTCGTGTAAGTTAATTGAACTACAGATTTTCTGTGACCTGTATCCTAAGCCGGCTTACGGCACTTGTGTGTATGTTCGCAGCATAAACGATATGGGAGATATTTCTGTGCATTTGTTAATATCTAAAAGTCGTTTTGCTCCCATTAAATAATATCCCAATAAAAAGCAGCTTGTGCTGTGTTTTGTATGGTGAGTGTAGAGAGAGAATCGGAAACCCTTTTTACTGGAAACGAGGCATTTCATCGTAATCCTCAGGGGTGACAACGCATCTGCATTTTGATCTTAATCGAAGATAAATGTAAATGTCTACGGGCCACAGCATCCACTTACCTGTGCTTGTTTGTCACCCCCATTCTATGAGAAAAAAATAAGCCTACGACAATTGATTGTCAAATGAAAGTGACTACCTTTTCATGAAGTCAAGCGCGACTTTATGAAAAGGTAGTCTCTTCACTTCATGTGCAAATTAGTCGTACTATGTTCTGCACCAACTCCACTATAATATTGGAATAGTTGAAAATGCTACCCGCTAAGTTTCTGCCATTTGAGCGCAACTGTGTAGCGCAGATATTAGCAAAATCGGGAAATTGTATTTGGAGGCATGTACCGACTAATGACAACCCCGCAGACTTTCTATCTCGTGGAGTTGACAGTGAAATATTGCAGCATCGTCATCTGTGGTGGTGTGGTCAACGGTATCTTAAGATATATCATGAATTATTAGTGTTATCTTATAACCTTTCGGCTATATCTGTCGTTGTATTGGTTGGTGGAGCATATGGAGCATATGAGGACAACCCACATGCAGATGGTAGCGGTTTAGGACGACGTGATTATACTTGCTGTGTGGGTGGAAGAATTCATCCATATCTCATCTTAATCTACAATTTTGCTCACTCCGCAAGGAACAACCTACTAACCTGTCGCGACTTCGTCGACTTCTTTCTCGTGTGTTTCAGCCACGGCTTTTTCAAATGAACGTATGTAAAGTGGAGCCGCTTCTCATGGAGATCCTTAAAGCATTTCTCGCAACATCACACTTGAATAGTTTCAAGCCGGAGTGGATCTGAAAGTCATTCGTTGATTTTTTTTTTTATAGAATAAGGGGGACATACAAGCACATAGTTCACCTGATGGTAAGTGAATGCTGTGGCCCATAGACATCTATTAAGAATCCTTATCCTCAATTTAGAAATAAAATGCAGATGTGTTGTTATCCCTATTGACGGAGATGGAATGTCTCATTACCAGTAAAAAGCGTCTCCTGTTCTCTACACTCACCATACGAAACAGCGACAGTAAGCTGCTATTTTACGCTGGTATTCTGTGATAGCGTGGTCCTACCCCGGTCGAACCAACCCATTCGTGCCACAACCATAATATAGCTGCAGCTCAACCACATATAAACACATACCACCACACAGCATCATAACGTGATTTTATCGCTGGTATTAACTTAATATACGCGATAAAATCCGTAAAAACTAGTTTTATTTAAATGTGTATTTTTTATAGGGGGGGGGGGGGGGGCAAACGAGCATATGGCTCACTTGATGGTAAGTGATTACCGCCGCCAATGAACAACTGCATAACCAGGGGAATCGCAGATGCGTTGCCGGCCTTTTAAAAAAGAGTAGGCTCTTTTCTGGAAGGTCCCTAAGTCGTATCGGTCAGGAAAAATCTCTAGTGGTAGTCGATTTCACAAGGAAGTTGTGCGAGGGAGAAAACTTCTTCTAAATCGCACAGTGTTGGACCGCCAGTCATCCTGATGTATGGATGGCATCGCGAGTTTTTTCGTGGTGTGCGATTCATCAGAGCACTCCTCGTAGTAAATGCGATAAAATACGAGTACGCAAAGAGATGCAACATCTTTTCACAGTACCAGTGAGTCAAGCCGATCGGAAAGAGTTCGGTCGCCGACGATTCGAACAGCTCTCTTTTTAGAAGCCAATTTGGCCTTCTCTTCCCAGTAACCACGAAACTGCACGTCACTCGATATGTCGACTCCGAGGATTCCGATACTGGCTGAGGCAAGAAGGGTGCCTTGAAACTGAGGAGATACGACAAAGGGGTTCTTTTTAGCGGTAAACGCGCAAACTTGTGGCTTCTGAGGATTAAACTGGACTAAATTTAGTCGCCCCCAATCCGAGACTTTGTTCAGCAAAGACTCGACTTCAGACACAAGTTTGTTCCGGTACTCGGCGACGTTTTCCCGAGAAATATTGGCACGACCGGTGTATAGAGCATCACCAGTGCTGTCATCCGCATAGCAATGAATGTTACCAGTTAGCAACATATCATTGATATGCAGAAGGAACAGCGTTGGTGATAGCACACAGCCTTGTGGAACACCAGCGTTAATAGGCTTGTAGTCGGAGCATGCCCCGTCTACAACGACCTTGATGCTCCGATCTGCAAGGTAGCTGGTGATCCAATCGCACAATTTCTCGGGAAGTCCATAGGAAGGGAGCTTCGAAAGAAGCGCTTCGTGCCAAATCCGATCGAAGGCCTTCGCAATGTCCAAACTAACGGCCAACGCCTCCCCCTTGGACTCTACTGCCTCTGTCCATCTATGGTTCAGGTAGACCAGAAGATCACCAGCTGATCGACCCCGAAGAAAACCGTATTGGCGGTCACTAATCAGCTGGTGATCCTCAAGGTATCGCATGAGCTGGCAGTTAGTAATTGATTCCATTATTTTGGAGAACAAGGAGGTGATCGCGATAGGCCTATAGTTGGACGGGTCTGAGCGGTCGCCTTTTTTAGGGATCGGGTGGACAAAAGCTGTCTTTCATGAATTCGGGACTACGCCTTGGGAGTAGGAGTACCGGAAAAGACGCGTTAGGACCGGTGCCAACTCCGGAGTACACGTCCTCAGCACAATTGGGGGGATTCCGTCAGGCCCATTCGACTTCTGGATGTCGAGGGAGAGGAGTGCTTTGCGAACCGAGCGCTGTGAGAACAGCACATCCGGAATGGAGCACTCATACCGCGGGATGGTCGGCGGTGTTTTCCCCCCGTCATCAAGAGTCGAGTTGGACGCAAAAAGGGAGCCTAAAAGGTCGGCTTTGTCTTTTGCGTCTTGGGCCAGTGAGTCGTCCTCCCTGTGCAGAGATGGTAGTGATGGCTTACAGAAATTCCCTTGGACAGCCTTGGCGAGAGACCAGAATGCACGGGTTCCCGAAGGAAGGCGAACTAGTTTCTCGCCAATTCTGCCCATGTGCTCTGACTTTGCCTTGGCAATAACTCTTTTGAAGGACCTGGAGACGAAGTTATACTTCTTTTTAAGTGTGCTGGTGTTCACATCTCGAGTCGCCGAAGCCGCAGCCCAGGCTTGGTAACACTCCTGCTTACTGCGTAATGCAGTCTTACAGGAGCGACCAAACCAAGGCTGAGATCTGCCTCCGATGGGTACCACAGATGATGGAATAAATAGTTCCAATCCCTGTAGCACCACATCAGTGAGAGAGTCAGCAACAGCGTTGGGATCATCCGGCGAGAAGCAAAGCCGCCCCCATGGGTAGGATGCATAGAAAGACCGCATTCCGTCCCAATCCGCCGACCTGTAATGCCAAACACGGCGGCAACCTGCAGAACGCAACTGCGAGGCTAACGTGAGTGGCACCACAAACCGGATCAGACAATGGTCCGAAGAGCCGAGAGGGGCATCGACGGAAACCTGATATCCGTCCGGATGAGAGGTCAGCAGAAGGTCCAACAGGGAAGGTGTATGATCCTCCACATCTGGAATCCGCGTAGGCGAAGTAACTAGTTGTGTCAGACCATATGCCAAAGCAAAGTCATAAACAGATCTCCCCGCATGATCGGTTAAACATGAACCGAGCCATTCGGCGTGGTGGGCGTTAAAATCGCCAAGGATCACGATCTCTGCGGATGAGACCTGTTGTAGCAAAGAATCTGTAGCCATTTGGACGTGGTCAATGAGTCGGTCTGTTTCGGCATTACCGCTATGGGACCTATAGAGGCACCCGTAGACGCGCGGATGGTCGTCGCTGTCTACGCGTAACCATAGGATGGACAGGTCCGAACCTTCAAGACTGCCGAGGCGTCGAGAACAGATGTCCTCTCCGACATACACGCAAATTCCAGCCCGAGGCACAAAGGAGTGCTCCAATTTGTACCCCGGGTAGGAGAGATACGAAGTATCAGCCGGAGAGGAAACCTGCGTCTCGGTCAGAAAGAGCAAGGCCGGCTTCGCCGTCTCGAGATGGTAGTGGACGGCGTTTAGGGTCGAGTGAAGTCTCCTGATGTTGCAGAAATTCACGGATAGCGTATACGTTTTTGAGCGGAATTTTGCCCCCCCCCCCCCCCCAGAATACACGGGGCAGCCTGAGCACCCACGCTCAGGATTGGAATAACATGGTCGTGGATGCTCAGCGAGGGATTCTCCAGGGGTGCTGGTACCCTCTTGGGGTAGTCTAACGTGTAATTCCACTACCATGTTGATGGTGGGGGAGGGGGGGGGGGGGGATTGGGCCTCCGGCCACCTGCACTCACCAGACGAAACGCAGAAGCAGAGCTTCTACTTCACGCCGGTATTCTGTGATTATAACTGAAAATAATAAAAACCTCAATATAAACCGAAGACTTTTATAGGCTGTAAAGTAAAAACTGTTAAAAGTGTCCGTTCTATTTCCACTAACCTCCCATGTGGTAAATATATCAAGCTTAGATTTTGTTTGGTTGATGTTTTGGTTTTTGAATTAGCTTCTTCAGAATAAATGCAGTTTCAATTGGCACATAAGGCACGAAAAGGTTTTTCTACTCGTTCTAAAATTTTATACAAAATTCATAAAAATTGTTTTTTTTTCTGGTACACTTTTATATTTATATAAAATACGTTTACATAATATTGTATATATTTTACCAGATATCTCACGAAAAAGGTTTTACTTCAGTGTGTACTTTTAAATGATTTTGCAATTCATTTTTTCTTATACATCTAAATTCACAGATATTACACGAAAAAGATTTTTCTAATGTGTGTATTTTCATATGCCTTTGCAAATTACTTTTTGTAATACATTTATATTCACAGACATTACACGAAAAAGGCTTTGCTCCAGTGTGTATTTTTAAATGATTTTGCAATTGATTTTTTCTTATACATCTAAATTCACAGACATTACACAAAAAAGGTTTTTCTCCGGTGTGTATTTTCATATGCCTTTGCAAATTACTTTTTGTAGTAAATTTATATTCACAGATATTACATGAATAAGCTTTTTCTCCGGTATGTATTTTCATATGTGTTTGCAAATTATCTTTTGTAATACATTTATATTCACAGATATTACACGAAAAAGGTTTTACTCCAGTATGTATTTTCATATGTGTTTGCAAATTACTTTTTTGTATACATTTATATTCACAGATATTACACGAAAAAGGTTTTTCTCCGGTGTGTATTTTTAAGTGCTCTTTCAAATGAGCTTTTTTTACACATTTATATTTACAGATATCACATGAAAAAGGTTTTTCTCCAGTGTGTACTTTCATAATATGGTATATCAAACTGCTTTTTCTTGCACATTTATAATCACAATTATTACAACAGTACACTTGTTTAGCAACGTGCGCTTTAAAATGTGCCAAAATGTAACGTTTTTGAGAAGTTTTAAATTCGCAAATATCACAATTAAATATTTCCGTTAGTTGTGGTACTGAAATTTGTTCAACTTGTGTCTGAACTGCAGTGGTGTCTGAGTTCTTTAGCGTCTTATGACTGTATAAAATATGTTTGGCGAGAATGTCTTTTGTTAAAAAAATTTTGCTACAACCATCACATTCAAAAATGTATTTTTTCGATGCCCCTGATCTTCTTTTCGTAAGTATATTTACACTCGTTTGTTTTAAAATTTTCTTTTTCATAATCTTTGGAGGATGCTTTCCTTCTTTAGTATCTTTTTGCACTTTAGGGTTTAATTTAATAGTAGGGCTTTCAAAAACAAAGTTTTCTTTACGTACATCGTTTATATTACTATCAGTAGAATTTGATTTAATCTTTTTCTCAGACGGTACTGAAAAGTTATTTGTCGGTGTGATGTATTGTTCTGAAATACATACGAATTAAACATTTTATTTATTGTAAGACATTGCATCTTTACTGTAAGACACCTTAAATGGTTTACAATGCGCGAAGTTTATGCCTTATGGCATTCCTTATCAGTAAACCCAAGGAGAAATAGAGAAATTATAATATTTAACATAATTATATGTTGTATAATGTTGCTAGATAAAAAGTATTTAAGTTAATTACTCTGAAAAATGTCGCATATTTATTTTTGGAGGGAAAGAATGGTAAAGAAACTAAATTCGAATGATAATGATGACATTCTTCTGACCATGTTATAATTACATTAATTTAATAATCATTTATTCGGATCACGCACAGAACTAGTGTTATACATACATGCATTTTGACCTGTCTTTTTTGTGGATAGTAAGTATATAATTGATATTGCCGTGTAAGTGCGGTGTAAGAGAATTCGCCATCACATTTTTTCCGCAGGTGTCATAACAGGCGACTATGGGTTAGCCAGAAAAATCTTATGGCTAACCCATTAATGGTGGTATAACCACATCGTTTACTTCATATGCAATAGCCAGACCGGCGACAACAACATTGTCTGAGGTGCTCACGTCTGGTTCTGCGATCCTCAATCCTATACCAAGCATGACGATTAAGGCAAATCCTCCCTACATCTATTATAAATGTTTTAGAATAGAATAGAATAGAATGATTTTTATTCAATATGGATTATTACATAATACTTATTGAAAGTCATTATTTTATTTACCACTACATCAGGAGATCCTTCCATGTTCAGCAGTGGCAGCTCAGGGGCTAGGCGTTTGCCGTAAAATATCACAGTACTCCTCGCGTACTGTACCCGGGTTCGATTTCCGCTGGCACCCATAAAATTGTTGAATTACAATTCAATATACATTCAATTCAGCATACTTTTTTACACTAACATTATCTCTGGTTGGGTTTCCAACCCAACAAGAAGTGCGTTTTGACTAGCAGTGCTGTGGAAACATGATGGGAATCATGGTTAACTCCGTTTTAATGTTCGACGTTTGATTTCGTCATATGGTGTAAACATATCAGTATCGATTATAAGCAGACGTATTTTTCATACATGTAGGTATTTTATAGACTATGGATGACAAACGGGCACGCAGCCCACCTGATGGTAAGTGGATACTGTGACCAAAGATATCTACATCCCATTAAGAATCAAAATGTAGATGCATTGTCACCCATGAGGACTAAGATGGAATGCTTTAGTAGTTGTAAAAAGGGTCTCCGGTTCTCTAAACTTGTAAGATCAATATAAATTATTAAGGATAACTCGAAACCTACTGGTCAGCCCTTGATCAAATTTACATGGGACCACCTGAGAAGTATACCCTTTGTAACAAAAAAAAAAGAATTTTCCAAAATGTTTCAGGCGTCTTCAAGTAATCGGTGAACATACATAAAAAAAAGATTCCGACAAATTGAGAACCTCCTCCTTCTTAAGTCGGTTGAAAATACGAAACACAGTAACAAGCAGCTATTTCACACTGGTTCTGTGAGTGTGGTCCTGTTTTATCTTATCATGCATGAAACAAGATAATTATATGGCCTACAAATAATCATTTTGGTTCTGTTTATTCATGTGTAATGTATGTACAGGACATCTCCAACTATAATTTTTGATACAGGTTTTTTTTTAAATAAATACTTTTACCTGTGTCATAGTCATCTTTTTTATCATTTTTGCACTTCTTTTGTAATTTTACAGTCTTAGATTTCTCTTTACTCATTGAACCAAATGCATTTAGTGACAAATCATTCTCTGAATCCGTATGTATATCTTCAAAAGCATCAATCTCCAAGTCTTCTGCTTTTTCAGCACTCTCTAGAATGAAACAAATTATGTTTCAATATATAAAAAAACACTGATATTTTTTCCAATTGTGCCTCCTTTCCCTAAGGGGGGTCGCTTCCGATACGGCAAAAAGGCCATACAGGCCAAAGCCAGTCCCACAGGTGGTGTTTAGTGGGTAGGCACTTCATAGTGAGTCCCACATAACCACGCAGCCAGCTGCGTGGTATGTTACGAGCATTCACTTCGTCCCCCGCTTCCCGGAGGGTAGCCCTTCGCTTTGGGCGCAAAAAAAAAATTCCAAGCGACTAGATCATTACAGTCCATCACACATCTTATGTGCCTGAGCCACCCACTTTTATTACAATACTGCATGTTTCATAAGCTAAGTGTAATAAGATGATATGGTTTAGGTTTAGACAAATCTACACAATCGTCACTTCACCAAATAATAACAAGGATGGAAGGGGCAATCTAAAACAAAGAAATATGTCTAGGAACTTTCATAGATATAGAAGGTGTTTATGACAGAACAAACTTTTTCAGCATAAAAGTTGCACTAAGTAGACATAGAGTTGAACCGGCACTGATTGACTGGATAGTAAACATGCTCAGTACACGAATAATAAAGATTGCTGGTGAATCTCAACCAATCCAGATTAAGAAAGGCTGCCCGCAGGGGAGAGTTCTACGTGGAATATGGTCATTAATGAACTCATCAGCAAATTAAATGTCAATCACTTCTACACAGTAGGTTATGTCTCTGGAAAGACAGCAAGCCTAGTGTGCGACCTGACCCAAGCGGCTCTCCGTATAATGGAGAGATGGTGCAGGGAATACGACTTAACCGTCAATCCAAATAAAACGGTTCTAGTAATAAAAGCTTTTAAAAAATTTACTTCGCAAATATCCGCGTTATAAAATAAAATGAAGTGTCTTACCTAGTATGAAGAGCACCTCCCGCCCTCCCTCAATTGCGTGCACTATCCCCGTCACCACTAGAGCCTAAACAACTGCCTTTTATACAGACCGATGATGCAACCGCTCTCTACTTAAGGAGCGACCGACCGCGTCATGCGATAAAACATGCGACCAATCACAGCCGGACTTACGCAGCCGTTTGTAAAATTAAAACAAACCGCCGCGCAACGCCCGCCTACCCTTCAACCACGCAACCAATCGCCGATCACCGTGAGGGTGACAAACGACCATACTCTATTATTAGAGAGTAGGCTTAAAGATATTTAAGAGAGGTGAGTTAGTAACATTTGTTTGTTCATTCAGCAGTGCAACGGTACTATTATTATTTTTTAATATCTCTAACTGTTCCAGCACACACAGCCGCAGCCATTTATTACACGTATGTAAGACTTTAAAGGAGTGGTGGTTGGCTAGGTTGTGTCCAGTGTCCAAAAGATGTTTGGCAAAATGGGATTTATCGGGATTACAATTCCTGTACGCGGCTAAATGCTCTTTATAACGTGTCTCGAAATTGCGACCAGTCTGACCCACGTAAACGACGTGGCATTCGTCACAAACAAGTTTGTAAACACCTGACTTTTGACGAATATCCAACTTATCTTTATTATTACAGATATTTCTAAGAGAATTGTATATTTTGAACGCCACATAAACGCCGTTTTGTCGAAGAGTATTAGCTACTTTTTCAGATATGGGGTCTAAGTAGATCAAACTGCTCACATACCGATGAACACTTTGAGGTTGAACCGCGTACAGAGAGTTGCGAACAACATGCTTTTGTTTCTTTTTAATTAAATTGTTAATGAGATTTTTTGAAAAACCGTTAGAGACCGCTATTTGATAAATTATATTAAGTTCTTTTAAATAATTTTCTTTACTTAATGGGACAGTGAAAAAACGGTTAATGTAACAATAAAAAGCGGCTACTTTATGTTGCCGCGGATGACACGATGACGCGGGGATGACCGAGTCGGTGTGAGTTGACTTTCGATAAATTTGGAAAACATGTGACGATTCTTTTCTTGATATTGTTAAGTCGAGAAAATTAAGATTCTAGTAATGTTCAAAAAAAACAAATTAATGCTGAATAACTATCATCTCCCAAGTCTTTTCAGCACAAAACTCCAGCTATCCTCTGTGGTAAAATACTTAGGTCTTACCTTGGACAATAAACTGAACTAGAAAAAACACACAGAAAACAAGGTTTGTATAACTTTCTGGCAATACAGAAACATGATTGGCAAACGGTCGGGTCTGACGAAATTATACTGTGGCTGTGCAATACTGTAATTAGGCCTGTGATCACATACGGCGCTCTGGTATAGTGGACCAAAATGAATGAAGTCATCACTATAAAGAAGCTTCAGCGTTACCAGAGACTGGTATGTATGGTTGCCACAGGCTGCAAAAGGACTAGACCAACAGCACCCTTAGAGACTATGCTGGAGCTAACCGCGCTTCACCTACACATACAACAAGAAGCGACTTTAGCTGCCATTATACTCAAGACACAAAATCTTTGGAGTAAGAGTTGAGTCCCCCTCATACAGGTATAATAGATAGCATTTACTAAAAAAATTCCCCAAACAATTTGTGTTCGATAAGAAATATAAGATTTCTTTGTTTTATTTCTTTTAATTTTAAAAAGATAAGAAATATAAGATACAACTAAATAAAACTAACCGGACCTTAAGCCTGAACTAAACCGGAGGGATTAAACCCAAAAGAGCTTAGTTTTCATGGATGGTTCTAAAACAAATGAAGGTGTAGAATCTGGTACTATCTCCGAAGACCTCAATATCCACATATCTAGCCCGGTACCCACAACACAGTTTTTCAGGCAGAATGTATGAGTATCATCCAAGCAGCTATAGTCATAGATGCCAGGAGGGTAAAAGACTTCTCCATCAGAATAATGGAGGTACTACAAGCTCTGAGTTGCAATGTAGTGAACTTGGGACTAATATACGAATGCCATCAACGACTAAATAAGGTATGTAAACACAACAATGTGACTGCAATGAATCAAGGGACACAGTGGATCCAGGGGAAACGATGCAGCAGATGATCTGGCCAGGAGGGGATTGCCTATGGCTGTTATAAGGACGGAATCGATAATACCGATTCCTTTTGGTAACATTCATTCACTGGTATGTAAAAATTATTGTACTGTAGGCAAGCTAGGGAGGCCCTGCCAGAAATAAACCGTCGTATAGCCAAGGTCAAGATGGGAGGATGACCTAAAATTGACCGTAGGACCCCTTTGGATAAGAGAAGTGTCAGACAGAACACAACAGTTGAAAGAGTTGGAGGAGGCCTTTGTCGAAAGACACACTGAAATAAGAGAGATTTTGTTTTTTTTTTGTTTGGCTAAATTTCTAGCTATAACATTTATTATTATAACCAAGGTGTTAATGATATTAAACAAGCCACAGATCAGGATAACAACAAGTGCTATTACAGGACATGGCTCCTTTAACAAACATTTATTTACTATAGGCATTACACATAGTCCCCTCTGCAAGGTATGTATGGGGGAGGAGGAAACAGCGGCTCATGTGTTGTTGGCATGTTCAAAGGTCGCTACATATAGGGCTAAACACCTCGGCACGCCGAGATTACTCCGCAAAGTGGCTCGCAACATCAAAGGACTGTTAAACTTTTTTGGGGAAATTTCATGGCTAGAATAATCACAATATTCCTGCCACATGCAAAATGCGCGCTTAGACGTGGAGTTGCAGAAAACAGCCCATCATAAACTAAACTATACTAAATTAAGTTTATGTGGGAATAGGCCCACAGTTCTTCTAGCTTTATGCTTGAAGAACTGACAACCAATAGGGAAAGGTTCTCGAGTGACAGCCATGTTCTGGTAGACGAAGTGTAGGCCCCCCACTATATGGAGTGACGACCTGGTAAGACAAGCAGGAATTCGATGGATGCAGGTAGCTCAGATCCATGATTTGTGACTTTCCTTGGGAGAGGCCTATGTTCAGCAGTGAACTTGTGAAGGTCTGTAATGATGATGATGATTCATTCACCTCATTTAGTGAGTGTTCTCCCACAACTTGTTTTTAGTAGGTAAGTGCTTGCAAATACAAGGATGCCTTAAACACCTTTTCTCCTTATTTTTTTTAAGATATGTAGTGACAAACAAACTAACAGTCCACCTTATGGTATGTAGACGATGCACCTGATGGTAAGTAAGCCCTGCAGTCCATGGACTGCCTGCAGCTAATTTCAAACAAAAGTCCACAATGCTCTGTCACCTCTGATGACTAAGATGGAATATACTGACTCTATACCCTTTAGATGGGAACACAGAAGTACACGCACTGCTATTTGACGGCAGAAATAGGTGAGAGGTGGAGGGAGGAGTCCATGTGGGTAGGTACACCTAGATCGACTCCTAGACAAACACTCACCCCAGAGTCCCAGTAGGCCCACCACCTAGTAAGGCCACTAAGAAATTGGCAAAGATAGGTGGTTGCTTACCAGTTGTAAGTATATCATTAATTCCTATGAAATTAATACCTCTTAGTTACATACATACTGGCTGCGTCTATACAGGGTTAAATATTTTTTAAATATGTTAATAATATAAGTATAAAAAAAAATTGTCTAAAGAAGCTCATTATGATGACCATACATGTTTATATTTTAAATAATTATTTAATTTATAATTTTCTTTCTCCATAAGTGCTTTTTACATGTACTTGGAATTTAGACAAAACAGTACATTGCACATCAAGCCCTCTTTATATTGTGTCCATGGGCTTCAGAAACCAGTTGTCATTAGGTAAACTGTACCTTACTTTAACAATATCACAAAATGTGTTTATCTTACCTGTTTCATGATTCCCATTATCTTCAAATTTGGAATTCTCTATTTCGAAATTCTGTTCTTCAACTTTAACAGTTTCAAGGCTAATAATTTCGTCCTTACAATCACTTTCTATATCACACTCAACTGGCCTGATATCTATATAATAAATTGGTGAGAGTTGAATCTCATCTCTAGCATCATGCGGTTTTGGTATTGACTGAAACCAAATTCTTTTTTTAAATAAGAGATAAAAGCCAGTGTAGTGGTGGCGTAGGAGAATCCATACTACTCCATACCATCCCACAGATGTAGTAAAAGGACAGAGGGAAACTGAAACAGGCGATGGGCAGCAGCATCTTCCTGACAACTCCAAATAATAATAAAAGCCGGACAAAAGCGAGGGTTCTGAATAAACTTAAATAAGAATGTAAATAGTTCATCCATCCCGAGAATAGTCTCAATAAATTATCGAATCAAGTTCTATCTTTGTAAATATATTTATAAAATATTATATATATATATATATATATATATATATATATATATAATATTTAAAAAATAATTTAAAAGCCAAATTTTAAACTTAAGTTGAAATATGTAAATAATGATATACCTTGATTGTACTTTTGAAAATATAAGTAAATAAGGCTTTACTTTTATTTGAAACTAGCTGTACTAGCGACTTCGCCCGTGTGTAATTTAGGGCTTTAATTTTGTTGCGCGGAACCCTAATTATTTTTATAAAATATAAATAGCCTAAGGTACTCCTTATAATATGATCTATCTAACAGTGAAAATCCCGTCAAAATCGGCTCAGAACCCTAATTCTTTTTCTCAAATATACGTAGCCTAAGTTACTCCTCAGAACATCAGCTATCTGCCAGTAAAAGTCCCGTCGAAACCAGTCCAGCTGTTTCGGAGATTAGCCAGAACAAACAGACAGATAGACCGACACACAGACAAAAATTTTAAAAATTGTGTTTTTGTTATAAGTACCTTTTGTTATAAGTATATACATTCATATGCATTTACTAAAAAGCTGTTATTTTAACATTACAAACAGACACTTCAATTTTATTTATTTGTATAGATTTAAAATATAAAAGGGCAGAATGTTTGAGTTTTTTTTTTAATAAATTTTTCTTCACCATTTGTCTGCCTATATTACTTATTAGATATGAGTTGTACTAGGTGCACGTAGTCCAATTCCGTACAAATACTAGATCGAAATACCTGTTCCACCTAGTCCATGAAGTACACATAAAGTTTGGTATTGTTGGAATAGGTTACACTTTAAAGTATGCTTAGTCTTTACGTACAGCCGTTACGTGAAAGTAATGAATAGTAATCATTCCTTCATACTTTACCCAGGGTTAGAACTGTCAACGTTAAGATTTATCTACATTCTAGTTTTTTGGCGTATTTAAAAGATTTCAATTCAGTTTTATTTTCAGAGTAATCAGATTTTTGTCTTTTTTTGTTTCGTTTTTTTTTAATTACCTATCTACAATCATTTTTCTTATATACGCGCAAAAAAATCTAATAAAAGTCTTAATAATTTTTAAAACTAAATTGTATTTTACAAATGTTACAATCGGCCATTCGTTGGCCTTTGTCCGTAAAATGATCCTAAGTAACTGCTTCCTTTGGAAGCTATTTTTTTAAACAATAAACACTTCAATGTCTAAATAAAAAAATAAATCGAAAGTTCCTTAACCACATAACAAAACTTCGTTACGAAAACTTATTTCTAAATAAATCGAGTAGGTATCAATACGGTGCCGAGATCACACTCGCATGAGGCCGTACTAGACACTCGAATACATCATATAGTCTCCATCCGCATCAAGTATTTTGAGTACCTAGTGTATAAAATCCGCAGTAGTAGTAGAAGTCCCGACTAGTCTCGAGTTTTGAGAGACAAAGATAGAAAGACTGCGGAATAATGTAGTTAAAAAAAGACAAGATATATTCATGCACAACACGAGTGCGCGTCGGGTTACTTTTATATACATTGTAATATAGTATAGTTCAAATCAAATAACTGATACACGAATTAATTAAGCAAACACGAGTGAGCGGCAAAGCAGACTAGTAACAAAATGCTGCCTCGCTTCATTGCGTCGGTACCTCTTCGATTTGAGAGGGCTGCGGTTGCTGTGCGACGCGTGCCTACGCGTCAAGTCAAGTGTCAAGTGAGACTAGGTGGATCAAGTGTTTTAAAAGTTGGAACAGGTGCAACCTAGTCTCGTTTAATATTAGGTATTAATTTGCCTGGATCTGTTCTAGTATATACACTTCATCTCTATTACTTATTCTGAACCTTCTCTGCAAATTTGGCCGATTATTGCTAAATAACCCTATATAACAGTATGAAGAGTAAGATTAAATTTTATTTTTGTGAAAATAAATACTTAACTTACTGAAATTCGTAAAATACACATACATTGTACTAATGAAAAAGTAAGTTGTAATGAAGGAGAAACTTAACTTTGCAGTAGAAAAAAACATTCAGCATAAAAGGCATGAGACAGGTGGTGATCGTCAAGGTGCCTAACAAGTGATATGTTGATTAGAATGATCCATTACGCAGGGAACTTTTATTAATAAGAAGAATGAGACCGTAAGGACCATGTAGTGGCGGTGTAAGAATATCCGCTACCCTGTTTACCTACCCACAGGTCGGATATCATAAAAGGCGAGAAAGATAAACGGAAACAGAGTTGGAAGCAGCATCTTCATGATAACAACTGCCAAATTTGCCATGCTTGGCAAAATCCCCCTTATGAAACAATCTATGAGAGAGGTCTATGTTTTGCAGTGAATTTTTATAGGTTTTAATGGATGGAATGGATAATACCGTGGACCCTCCTGCAAGCAATTGCTCCAGAAATGCATTTGACTCAATAGCCTGTTGTTGTAATCTTCTGCACCGATTGAGTCTTGCATGACAGGTGAAACAGACAATAATGGGCCTCTCATCCATCTGAAAATATGAATATTTGTAATAAATATATAAGTTTGTAATAAAATTCACAATTCTCCTCATGAACATCATTTTTTTTATAATATTGAAGTGACAAACAAACTTACAATCCACCTAATGCTATGTGTTACTGCAGCCATGGGCACCTGAAACGAACTTCAAGCAAAGGCTACAGATGCGATGATATCTCTGAGAACTAAGATGTAATACTTCACAGCCTATTACTTATACTGATTCTCAATGTTCTTCAAACAGGGACACATACTGTTGCTTAAGGCCGATTTACACTTCGACAAGTGCAGTAGTGAGTAACTTGTAAACCTGGAGAGTTAAGTAAAACTATTGTTTGAACAGCAATTAGTGAGAGGTTCGTTAGGGTAAGATCGGTGATAGGGCAAGACAGTAAGATTCAAATTTCCGGCGAATTACCCTATATTTTTAATTACTAGCAATATGGTACACATTCATTTCATTCTGCCCCGACCCGAAGTTCCCACCATTTGCTCTGGGAAGTAGAACGCGTGCTGCGCGGCATTTTATAAAACAAGATAATTTTTGCAATTTTTTTGTCCATCCGGACTTTCCCTATCACTTTTTGACGTAATTTTTAGCGAGAATATAGCTTCTATTGTTATTATTTTGTCTAAATACTAAGTTTTATGTAGTTATAGTCAGATAAAACTGATCCAAACAGGGCTAAGATCGCTCTAGGCCACGATCCGATGTCTACTCACACGAGTGAATATTGGATGAATTTTATCTTTAACTGTTAAAAATATGGCAGTGATTATTAAACTTTCATTTGTCGGGTATATTCTTTCGAAGATTGCTCAAGTGGCTATGGGACTCAGTACAACTATCAAATTTATTGTGAGTTAATAAACCTAATTGAGCTCAATTGCTAACTTACGTTTTACTGAAATATTTCACTTTATTAAGTTTTACCAGCATAGCTAATATGAATTAACTCAATGGCTTACAACAACTGATAATTACAAAACTCATTTAGAACTAGTCTTCAGAACTTTGTTATTATATAAATGTTTCTATATATTTTGTGAGATGCCGATATATTTGCACCACTGATTTTTTTTTTCAAAATATTTTTTTCACTGTTTTAAGTTGTGATGCACTCAGTGCGCAGCCGCATTACTTACATTAACAATTTATCCGCAGATGCTTTGAAAATACACTAGGACTTCTACGCGGGCAATGTAGTTCAAACAAGAAGCTTTGGAAATTGCTATTAAAAGAATAAAAAGTCATTAGATAACATTTATCTCATCTCATTAGATAAAGTTTAGAACTCATTCAGTATCACAGGAAACTTTCACCTCACATTCCTATTCCTGGCCTAGTCCACTTTGCTTTACTTTTTTCGACTCATGCCCATATTCTGGTTCTAATTAACTCTACAAATAGGCTCACACCTGCTCATCGACACACACACACACACAAATCTACACACTAAATAATCTATCGATTAACCAACTACAACCTACTTCGCCATATGCCGCTTTGCTAAAACACTTGCATCTTCCTCTACTCCTGTATGGCCTCAGGGCATTTCGCCAGTCCTTATTGTTACATTTTATTTAAAATAACTAGATTTTTTTTTAAATAAAATTTTCTTACAAAGTCAAAAAAATCAAATGCATCCCATCTTTCCCTTATATAGAGTAATTCCATCTAATGTCATAACAATGTTTGAAAACCACAAAATTATAATATATTTTTATATTAGCAATAAGATCAGATACCAAGAAACAAAAAAAAAAATGAAAATCTTTTGGAACATTTATTTTCTAGTAATTTATAGATAATATTGAAATATGTTTTTGAGTGTTAAAGAGGACAAATTCCTTTTATTAACCTTGTTCTATAAGCAGTAGAAATGGCTTTAATTTTAAGTCTGGTCTTACTTACTCCTTGATGGCAAATTCTTCATTGTGCATATAAAAAAGTATGTCTTGTTTTCACACATGTTAAAAGCACATTGAGTTTACAAAAGCAAAACATTCTCCTAGCTAAACTTTGGTTTAACATACTTTTATTTGAAATAGAAGCGAAGTAATACAAAAACAAGGAAGTTTTTGGCTTTTAATTCTTTTACTGGCTTTCCCATTAACTCAGCAAGACGGCTCCAAGCATCTGCAACTTTCCTTAACCATTAAAGATTTGTGCCATGTTTCAGAAATCTGGCGTAAACGGATGTTAAGAAAATAAAGTTTTTGCTAGACTCTTTCAACAAGTCGAAAATTCATCTGTTGTTACCCCAACGCACCTTAAGTAACAACTTAACAATTAAGTAGAACGGGTTAGCTAACCGGTCTATTTTTTGGCGTTCAAAGTGTTGCCCTCCCATGTGTCTCCCGCCACATGCTACTGAACTCGCCGCTGTGTAAATGAGCGAGTTTACTTCAGTGCATAAATTGACAGGGTGCAATGTGTTCGCTTTCAACCCTCAAAATATAAAATTTTACTTTTTTAACTAAACTCGCCACAAAGACATTTGAATGCTACTACCTACTTAACTGTTTACTGTCAACTGCCCTGTAACTAAACTCGCTACTGTACTTGTCAAAGTGTAAATTGGTCCTTAGAAATAGGTAAGAGGATGATAACTACCCAGACAGACTTCTAGGCAGAAACCACATAGTGGATGATCATCACTACAAAAACACAGTACTAAGCCACCTACATCCATTGACTTAACATATTGCCACTATTAGTGGGGGGCCACTCTAAAATTTGCTTACCAGTATGTGACTTGAGAATTATGTTTCCCCATCTGTTGTCAAATTATAAGGACATAATTCTCTAATTAATTTAAAATGTTGTGTTAAGTACATAGGAGTCTCCCTCACGTTAACAGATATAATTTTAAAAGCAGTAGGTTCAGACCCGTGGGACCCTGACATAGGTATTATCAAGTTCGGGATTTCCAAATTCAATCCTACCAAACCTACTTTCAAATTTTTACTTCAAACTGCTAATATTACTATTAACATTATTACGAATACTTCTCTTATTTGCTCTAAGTTAACTGAAAATACTTATGGTGGGAGGAATTTATGACAAAAAACGGCAACTTTGAGCTTTTATGTTAGTATTTTGTGAGAGCTTGGTGCCACTTCACTCAAGCCGACCCATTCATGATACAACCATAATATAGCTGCAGCTGGGCTCTACCACATAAAAAAATCATAATATTTTTTTTTTATAGGAGAGGGGGCAAACGAGTATGCGGCTCACCTGATGGTAAGTGACTACCGCCGCCCATGAACAACTGCAACACCAGGGAGGGAATTGCAGATGCGTTGCCGGGCTTTTAAAACGGAGTACGCTCTTTTCTTGAAGGTCCCTAAGTCGTATCGGTCCGGAAAAATCGCTGATGGTAATCGATTCCACAAGGAAGTCGTGCGAGGAAGAAAACATATTCTAAATCGCACAGTGGTGGACCGCCAATCATCCATATGGTGTGGATAGTATCGGGAGTTCTGCCGCGATGTGCATTCGTGAAATTTGGCGGCTGGGATTAATCCAAACAATTCCTCAGAGCACTCCCCATGGTAGATGCGAAAGAAAATGTCCTACAGACAGAATTTTCGTCACAATGGAGACCATTCATTTGCACAGGACAGGATTAAATTGCATGTATGTAAACAAGCACAAGTACACATAATTCTCCTTAGATTCTCCTTTGATGGAAGCATATGCACACTCTATTCTCCCACTTTAATAGTCCAATAAAATGGCTTTAAGTGAATGAAAGACCAAACCAAGGTACATGTTAATTTATAGAAAATCTCATTAAATTAATATGTACTAGAAAAGACATCGGGAACAAGATACTTTTTTATGGCACAGAATCAGTAAGTTTGAGCCTGCGGCCTCTAAAACGTGTTGCAAGTCTCAGCGTATCTTCTAGTACATAACTACATATTACTTCAAAGATAATACTAATTTTAGTAAGACCCAAGATACCAGGATAAATGTTGTTTTTCAGGTTCTGGTTGTATTTGACTATCACATTTTATATAAGGCAAGTTGTAATATACTTCTCTAGAGATAACAACAAATAACAGACTCACACTTCAATGTGCAATATAAGAAATAAACAAACTTACAAATCTATTCGTCAATGTTTTATATAAATTTTTGAGGCCAGTCTCCTTCAGAACAAACATGCGTACATTAACGCTTAAACAAATTCTACAAATTTCACTAAAGGCCATTTCTATTTTCTATAGCTTTAATATAATTGAATTCTCTTTTCTCTTTTTATTCAATAAACCGAAGTTTTCAAAAATATTATAACGCAGTACCAAAGAGCAGAAGCAGAGTATAGTAACGGGCATAGAATCTTAGTACCAGGCTGGTGCAACTTCCATAGTAAAAATTATATGTACTACAGGGGTCAAATTTTAATGACGGTTATCTCTTCTTTCCGCTTTTCGTAATATGTCTATTAATGACATTGTCAAATCAAATAGGTTCAAATGTCAAATCAAACAATTATATTTGTATATATTTTATTTAAGATTGCTTTAAATTTTGTTATAGCAGCTGTTGTTCATTTACACAATTGTTAAAAAAATAAATAGGTATGCATTATAAAACTTGCCAATTAAATGGTGCAAGAAGCGGAAAAAATAATAACAAGAAAAGACAATTCGTAGCAATATTTCCCTTAGATGATGAAAGGTATGTGGTGAGTTCAACTTTAATTATAATATGATGTTTAACGCGACTACATTTTTGGACTAGCCATCTACATGGGACTGGTTTTAATTGTGTACGATTGTGTGCACAAATACAAACACACAATTTCCTTAATCTGATAGTTCGATGGGATGGCAATCCGAAACCAACTATACTTAGAAACTACATAATCAATTGTGACTGATAGCATTCTATTTGTTCAATAAAAATGTGATTTTATTTATATTATTTTTCAGATGCAAGCAATGGGCGAAACAGTTGGCACTATCACCAATTGAAAAGATTGACATGTTAAAACATATTTGTGGCAAACATTGCAAATCCTAGAATTTAGAAATCCATCTAAAACGAACTGTTATTTCATCAGTGGAGTTAATTTAAACTTCCACTATTATGTGTATGTTAATTAGGTTTCATTTACATGTAGCATGAGATAATATCCATATAAAGTCACATATTGGTAAGAATTCGATTATAAAACTAAAGTCAAAGTTATTTGTAATTACTTGGTTATAAATAGTTTTTTTAGAGATTCATCTACAAACATTAGCCTTAATGAGCACTCATTTTGAAAGCGACAATAAGTATACGATCTCTGTGAGTAGTATGTACGTAGGTACCTCTGTGAAAAAGCCTAGCGATTTGTACATGGTATTTGTTACAGTTAAAAGCAATTTAATCCCATTAGTGTTAATAAACCCAATTTCATACCCTTTTGAAAAAACTAACGTTGAAAACAAGCGTCCAGACGCAAACTATTTATTTTACAGCATAGCAACAATAGTTCAGTGCGGGAACGAAGCCTCGGTCCTGCAGTGCTGCAGCCAAACGCTTAGCCTCTGCGCTACGGAGTCGTCATTTAGTTTTTACTTAATTAATTATTAGTATAATAGTGCGTTTTAATTTTATATTTTCTTTACACATATCTATGTACCTAATAACTGTAGAGATATAATTACAAATTTCTGCGTGTAAAATACAATGATTTGTTATCCTAATCGGCATTTTTACTCAATCCCCAGATTAAAAAAAGTAATGCTCATAAATAATTCAGTATAGAGAACTAACTTTTATTATGTAAAAATATCGATAAACAACATATCGATAAAAGTTTTATCGATAGAATTATTCGAGGATAGACATTTACAGCACTATTAGAAATCACCTATGTTGTCAGCACTGTTTGTCAAAAATTAATTGTCATGTGTTGATGTTGGTAGAGTAGCTTGGCGCAATGTCATACATTTACTTTTTCTTAGGAAGTCCCGCCTCTTATGGTGGCACTTCACATGGCTATTTGGTATTTGTGAAGCATATTGCCGTATTTGGCAAAAAAATTGACGTAAGGGCAAATAAACGATATAACCGTCCACACATGGAGCCAAATACCAAAAAATGAAACATGTTTGCCAGCGGAAAGTAGTTGTACCTACAAAATGGACGTTGCACTTTCAGCTGGATTTTATTATTTGAACGCATGTTACTATTATATGTTATGCGTAAAACCTTACAACGGTTTCTTTGTCCCAATTCATTTTCCGTATAAATAATTACTTATTAAGGCTATAAACTGGTCCGTTCGTAATGGTTGACAGTTCGCGCGCTTATGAGCCCGACCATGTATGGCCAGTATATTTGCGTATTTGCCTATTTGTCTCCTTTGATGTGCCTTGAAAAACCGACAGACGATCGGTAAGCCGTATTTGTTATTGGCTATATTTGCCAAATAGGCAAATACGGCAATAATTATGGCAAATATACTCTCCACACATGGAAGTTATTTGTCAAATACCCCAAATACGCAAATACAAATAGCCATGTGAAGTGCCACCATTAAACGTAGTGGTTATATTCTCTTTGCTTAGTACATTAATGCTTGAAAAACGCAATTATTATTATACTAAATTTAGATGAACCAAAAGAACATATAAAGTCTATCAAACATATAGTTTTTAGATTTTGTCGTATTATAATGTACTAGATCCATCTGTTGGCACAAGATGTCGCCTCTGTTGATATAAGAAGATAAAATTAAAACGCTAGGTGGTTATGACATTCAAAAACCTATTTGACAACATTTTTAAAATGGTCGCATTGAGTTGAGTGCAAATTCCTCCAATCTGACATACAGACATAATTAAAATTATTGCGTTTATGAGTGTTTGAGACAAAGATTCTTAATTTCTTATATTTTGAGTGTTGTTTTAGAGACAGGGACTCTTCATCTCCTCAATATTTCTAGTAAAAAGTATTGTGTTCACGGCTGCATGGACTCTGGAAGTAAGTATATTCCGTAATTTGATAAGATTTAAACTAAACATATTATCAAAAATCTCTTGCATCTGCTCTAAGATGTTTTTAAAGTAATCTGCTATGCCTGGTATGGACGGCTGTAGGCTGATATCCATATTAATATATTATTATATGTAATAAATGTAAGATTGTGATTTTGAAGTCAGGCGGACTTCCACTGGAGTGATGACCTGGTATATGATGTAGGTGGCTAAGGACCGTGCTTTGTGATTTTTATTGAAGTGGCAAGAGGCCTATGTTTGGTCTGTAACGATGATGATGATGATGATTGTTTGTTTTATTTAATGTTATAATCCATGCTGAAAAAATTCATCACCATAATAATAGTGTACTGTAAAATATCAGTTTATTAATAAATAATTTGTATTTGACACAATTGATTGTACTTGTATTAGAATAATAATAATAAAAATATTTCTATTCTTTTAATCAGTCCAGTGTAAGTCTTATGTACTCATGACTAAATTAAATTATGTATTTAGTCTTAAAAATTGTATGTTAATAAAAACAGAGAGCCCATCACCTCATTTTGTCCCATGGGTGTTATGTTATAGCAGATATATCAAATAATCTCATGGGTTCTGTTTAGTCGGCGGTATAACCATCTCGTTTACGCCAGACGTAAAATCCAAATTGACGATGGACAAGCTGTGTCAAAGGTGTTCACGTCTAGATCTATGATTGTCAAGCCACCTGCCAAGCATGACAGGCTCAAGTCCAGCAGTAAACTTTAATAGGCCAATAAAGAAGAAAAAAGTCACAAAAAACTTGCTGTGCTCTGATGTGTTTATTAATGGATTAATTAGCTTTTTGTTTTTCAGAAAAAGGCATTCTTCCAAGAGAATATGCAGAAACTGCCGAAATTCTCCTCTTTTTTGACAAGGTATTCGATTCTGTTAATGGCAGCTACAATAAAGAAAAAACTATATGTAAAGCCTCTTCTTGGACCAGCAAAGCCAAACTCAGAACACAATAACATGAAATTTATAAATAAAATGTCTAATAATCATGAGAGTGTATCAACAATAAAAAAATGGGTATGGACACTACTTGGTGTATAAATTCTTTTGAAAAATTCGAAACTAAGTATGGTATTACTTCTGTTTGGATGCGGCACCTCAACCAAGACCCTATTGAAAACTTTTTTGGAACCATTAGAAGCTATGAGTGCCGCAATGTTAATCCAACACCAGTACATTTTCAGAGTGCCTACACTACACTTTTAATTAACAATATGTCCAGTGTCCATGCCTCAGGAGCTAATTGTGAAAAAGATAATTGTACGGCTTTAGAATCTGTTTTCATCACAGATAACTGCAAAGCTGCTGCAACCTGTGTCCTTGAAACAATCCTGGATGTATATATAATTGATATTAAAGAGAACACTGCTCCATATATAAAGGGGGCATTAGATTATGTTAGTGGATACTTTGCTAGATGTGCTAAAAAATGTTTTTAAAAATTGTAGTGAATGTACTGCTAAAATATTCGCCTTACAAGAAAATGAAATCATTAACTTTTGGGAATATGCAGGTAAAGGGTGGCTTTGCAGTCCCACTGAGTCTCTTATAGTGTGTGTATCTGCAGTGAAAGACAACAAATTCAGTATTAAAATATTTAGGTAGAGACAATGTTGAAGAATTAATAAAAATCTTGATACTAATTCATGTAGATTTTGATGTTTTGCTATGTAAAATAAAATAGTCTTGCCGCTTTTTCATATTCAATTATGTGTTGTATGTGTCACAATAATGAAGATGTGTTTCAAATGAAAGCCAAAAAATATTTCCACAAATGTATAAAAGACGTTTTATTCAATAAATCACTTAACTTTCTGAAATGAGTTTTTATTTTTACCTCAAAACCTATACTTATTGTAAGAAAAATTTCTTACATTAAGTAAAAAGAAAAAACATAAGGAAACAATAATTTAGTATAGTATAAAATACTATATAGTAGCTATATATACTACGTGTATAGTATAGCTATATGATAAATATAAATTGTTCCATCCGACACCACCAGACGGCAGCACATTCGTGAATTCATTTTGGGCTTGAGATTCGTCTCTATTTCAGTATATATAAAAGTACTCTGTGATAGTAACTGTCAGTGTCATATACAACGCGTAGAGTTACTATCACAGAGTACATTGTATATACATGAAAGTTACTATATAGTTTGTGTCATATACGCATTACGTACGTAAAGGGCATAGTGACATAGAATTTTAATAAGGGCACAGAACCACAGAATGTACAAACACAGTGTACACTAAAAGCGCTA